GCAAATTTAATTAGTATGACAAAGAAGGTTATGAATGTCAGTCTTGTGCTTTTTGCATTTTTTTACAAAATTAATTTATCCTTTTTTGGAAGTAGCGTCCAGAATTTGTCCAGAATTTTTTCATGTCCGGAATTTGTCCAGCTCAAATTATCTGAATTTTTACTATGCCCGGAATTTGTCCAGGTTTATCCGTCCGGAATTTGTCCAAAATTTTATACTGGACAAATTCTGGATATATTCTGGACAAAGTCCGGATATGTCAAAATTTTAGGTATCAAATTTGTAGCAGAAAATAGACATTTTCCGGACAATTTCTGGACATGCCAGATTTATTCTGGACAATTTCCGGACATTTTCGTAGACATTTTCTGGACATTTATTTTTTATAGGGATACGTTTCACCGTCAATTATTCATTTCACCGACAAGATTATTTTACCGACAGCCATTACGGTTGTGAGTTGCGGTTGTGAGTTGCGGGTTGCGATTAGTAAGGCTTAGTTGCGGCCACATCTTTACCCCTTATCCTAACCTTATCCTAATCCTAACCCTAATTTCCTTACCCCAAATCTTGTGATCGTTGGCGAAACATTTGTCTGCGAAATGACCCTGTCGGTGAAACGCTTGTCGGAGATATAATTGTCGGAGATATAGTTGTCGGAAACTCTTTGAATCACCGTCACTTTTACTTGAATCTTCATTTTCTCCAATGATAAAAACTATTAAAAAGAAATAACCAATTTCGTTAAAGAAATCCTTAACAACGTTAAAGTTTTCAAAGATGTGATACTACAGTATATTGTGAAAAAAAAAAAATTGGTAAATATAATCCATGACTACAATATCAAAAAGTGAGACATGTCGTACGAGATACCCCGGGTACAATTTCAGTACTATAAAGATTTATTATATTTAATATATTAAAATTTTGAATTTGATTTATAATAACCATTAAAATATGTAATGGAGTATTTTAAGTGGAGTTACTTTTAGGAGTTACTCTTAGAAGGGAGATATCTTGTACAAGTGAGATACATTAATACGGATTACAATAGATGGATTGGATTAATTGTTCGAAAGTAATATTTAAGTAAATAATTTGGTGGATAATTGATTTATCGTATGAACACCCGACAGTCTGGAGAAAGAAATATTCTCTTTGATCGTTTTCACCGTTTTCAACAATAAGTTTTAGTATTCATGTAATTACTGAAATTATAATCTTTGGAATAGTTTAATATAGATTTAGATAGGTAATTATTATTGTATTGTATTTAGGTAATAATGTGCTTGAGGCCATTTGCCATTTGACAGCCCAGATTGTTGCCCGCGTAAGTGGCACAAATAGATAAATACTATACAACAAGTGTTTAGCCATAGTCTATTTAATGATTTTAATGGTATTGTATGAAGAAATTAATTATATTAATATATTTATATGTGAATAAATCGGAACATGTGGAGATTAAAATTATTTTGATCGCGTAACCTTATGATTGTGTAACCTTGACCTGATTAACTATAAAATACAGTTAATACAGTTTTAAAAAATGATCAATCGATTTCTGCCCCTAGAATGGAATTTTCAGAGCATAGTAAAGGCTTTGGAAGAGAAAAAGTAAGCGGACATCACGATATCACGTAGATGGATCAAAGTTCCACTTATTATTGATATGTATGGTAGTCTGCCTTTACAGATAGACTGGAAATTATCAGTGAAAAAAATTGATACTTCTTGAAACACTTGAGTATTTATTTAACAGGAAATTTATTTATAGTTAAAGTGAAAAAAAGCAAAACATGCATCAGTTGCTGGACTGCTCAAAGTTATTTTAACATCCCTAATGGTCTGACGTTTTTGATTAAAAAAAATTCAATTTTTTATCAACAACAAAAAAATCATTTATCAACAACCTTTTTTAAAAAAAATAATTCGTATTTAATTAAAAAATTTAATTATGCCCATCGAATGATCCCGCGCAGCAACTGATTACTTGATAAGACAAAGATGATGGTGCTATCATTATTCATTAATCCTCCGATAAACATTATGGCAAATTCTGGTAAGAAAAAATCCTTTGGATTGCTTAGGCTTGTTATCAGTTTTAATAATCTTCTCATGTCCTATATTAGCTCACTATAAACCATGGAAGAAACCATGGAAGAGAAAACAATCTTCACCAGATATTGCTATATATATATCGCCCAACATTGTTTTATCACCCGATGTTGATATATACAGTATGTGGAAACCCTCATGCACGAATTATATGGGGAGTTGCAAAAACTTCGATGATTGGAATAGAAAGTGAGAGCTTTGGATGCGATAACAATATGTGAGGATGTGTATTTAAACAAAGTAAAAGCTACACGAAATATCCCCAATTCAATTGATTGGGTATTCAGTATATAGCACAGAAGTAATATATGATGTTATCTACAACATCCCCCATGAAATTTGAAAATATGTTGATATTAGGTTTGCTGTTGGACTCTAGGGAAATCAAAGCTGACAACATAAATCATTATTTGTCATCAATCATTGATGAATTACTCAGATTTTGGAAAGAAGACTCTTATTTACAAACGGTTTCGTTGAGGAAATCTGCATTAGCTCCAACTTAAATATTCTCCATTTGGCCTTATCTTCAGATCTATTACACAAGCCATCTTGATGACAAGTTACCCACACGCAAAAAGATGTACTGTATATGATTGTATGTGACACGGCTATTTATTATTCAACATTTTCGAAATGTTATAATTTTTTTTATTTCTAATATTAGGCCAGACTCTTCGAAGATCGTTCTGTACGCGACCACACAGCCATTTGGGAAAGGATTACGAATCAAACCCTATGAAGCGATGAATGGACAACAGTGTGGAATTCATTCATTAAACGGGGATATGAAAATTTAAGTCGAATGTTTGACGGTCAAGAACGACAACACCATTGCCCATACACAGCATAAATAGATTATTTCGTACGAGGGTTACTGGGCAACAGTGTAGCCAAAAATGGAGGAACCTCGTAAGGGACTACCATGTAAGTAAATAAATAAAAATACATTCATATAAATTGAATTTATTTGTCTAATACTCCAACTGATTTGATATTTAGAATTTTGTCCTTTACCGTAATGGAGTCCCTGGGCGGCGGCTGTGGACGCGTACCGGCCAAAGATACTATAGAGAATTTAGAACGAGATTTTGGGAAAGGCCAGGTACAGTAAAGGAGCTCCTTCTACAGCTGGATACGCCTACAATTTGAATTAAATTCAACGGTCCAAACATCAGAATGAAGAGCATAAAGTTTATGGTCTCCCTCTTTCCATCAAATAATCATTATAATTGCTTTGGACTTATTTTATGTTTATAAATGTTATTATATTGGATATTTACCAAGGCTCTTGTACATACATCAAACAACGAGAGATACATCCAGATGAAACGAACCAAATTGACATTTTTATTAATGTCCACAAAATGGATAGTCTTATAATTATAAAAACAGAGATGGTTATGGAAATTATAATTGTATTAGATAGAGCGTTTACATTTTTCGTTAGATATCTAAGAAACTTTATTATAATAATTTTTTCGCAAAAAATTCTTGTTAGTTCTCCAACTTTATTTAAATATTTGTTTGCGTTAACTTATAATTAATGATTGAACTTTACATGACGAAAGATTCTTTTTTGTAATTATAATTTATACTTTCCCCTTTTCTAATGTTACAAGCATATACTGTAATTTTCATTTCCATTTTTATTACGCGATTTTACTTCAAGTAGGATAACGAAATTATTATATTTATTAAGGTTAATTAATAACTTATTGTACAAATAAATACAAATAAATACAGTATATTGGTAAGTTAATTAATAACCTATTGTACAATTAATTATTAAAAATATACTACTACTATTATGGCAAATTGATGAAACAAGAATGCTCTTATATGTAAAATTATTAATGCCCATTATGCCCATGATATGTTGGATGTTGTCCTTATGTTTCATTGTTCTTGGAATCATCGCCGCCACTTTTACTCGAACCTTCATTTTCTCCAATGATTTTTCCTTCTGATTCATCTCTTATTTGTTTTTGCCACATTTCATAGTATATACCTATAAAATACATTAATACGTAAATATAATTTAATTTTTAAAATTTACCATCAAATCCTTTAATTGTTTAATTACCATCTCCTCCGTTTTCTTCGGCTTTTCGAATAAGTTCATCGTGAGTTCCCTAAGAATAATTTCATTAATTATAATTAGTAATTTAACGAAAAAATATTTTCAAAGTGAAATTTTTTTTTACCTGTTCAGCAACTTTTCCATCCTTAATGCTAATGAAATCGTTAAATATTATAATTTTAGTTAATATTATAATTATAATAATTATAATTAGTTAAAAATTCAAAAAAAGTACAAAGTCCAATTTAATACTATGAAAATAAATGACTAACCAAAGAATCAAATCAGCATTAACAATTGTACTCAATCTATGTGCAATTACTAAAGTTGTACGATCTTTCGTCATATGTGAAAGAGCATATTGAATTTGTCTTTCTGTGGTAGTATCAAGAGCGGACGTGGCTTCATCGAGAAGAATTATCTGTATAAATATTCAATAGTTTAAATAGTTTATAAGTAAGTATCCCTTTCAGAAAAAATATTATTGCTAATAAAATATGTTTTGATACATACCGGTGGATCCTAATTAAAAAGCAAGATTTGATTTTGATTTTGAATGATGTTATTTTTATGTTAGTAATCAATTTTAATAAAATTTCGCGTAAAAGATATGGTTATCTAAATCACCTTTAATATTGTCCTAGCAATAGCAACTCTCTGTTTTTCACCACCACTTAAACGTAGTCCACGTTCTCCCACACGTGTTTCATATCCTTTCGTAATAAGATAGAATAAATTAATGCAATTTAAAAAAATATTGTTAATATTTCATTGTACATACCATCAGGGAAATTTAAAATACGATCATGAATTTGAGAAGCTTTTGCAGATTTATGAACTTCCTCATCGCTTGCATTGATGTTTCCATAATGAATATTATAGAAAATCGTGTCATTAAATAAAACAGTATCTTGTGGTACAACTCCAATATTTCTTCGCAAACTTTCTTGTTTAACAGAACGAATATCTTGTCCGTCTATTAATATTCTTCCCGAATTAACGTCATAAAATCGGAAAAGAAGTCGAAGGATAGTTGATTTTCTACATAGAATATACTCTTATGTTAATTTGTTTTCATGCAATTTAATCATTACATTCATATTTAATATTTACCCGCCACCACTAGGACCTACTAAAGCAACTGTTTTTCCTTTTGGAATTTCAAACGAAATACCATCGAGAGCCGTTTGTCTTTGATCATATGCAAATCCAACATTCTCTGTTTTTTTTTAAAAAAAAAGGTAATTATTTTAAATTTCTTTCTCTCTATATATACATGTATTCTGAAATGATAAAATTACCGAAAACGACCGATCCTTCAGTAACTTTCAATTCTGTTGCGTCAGGCGCATCTTGAACACTTTGTTGTTCTTTAAATAATGCAAGCATTTTTTCCATATCAATGAAATTTTGTTGAATTATACGGTAATATGTTCCAAACCAATTGAGCTACAAATCAAAAGAATAAAAATCAAATATTAATTTTCTTTATGAAATTTAATCTCAATCAAAGGGTTAAGAATTAAGTAGACTTTTTAACCTACCGGACCGTATAATTGATTGATATAAGTGACAAAGAGAATAAAATCACCAACTCTAAAATCTCCACGAGCCACTTTCCAAGCACATAACAAACACCCTGCTAATAATCCTATCGTAATAACTAAATTTTGACTAAGATTAAGCATGTTAAGTGTCGCTGATACTTTATAATCAGCGACTTGAAACTTGACAATAGCCTCATCATATCTTCTAATTTCAAATTGCTCAGCATTATAATATTTGACAGTCTCAAAATTCAAAAGTGAATCCACTAAAATTCATAAACATAAAAAACATAATAAATTAATATTAATTTATAATTTTAATTTTCCAAGAATTTTAAATTATAACAAACCAGCTTTGGATCGCGCATCATTATCTAAATCAATCATTTCACGTCTGAAACTGGTTCTCCATTCAGTAATCAAAACTGTGACATAAATATAACTTCCCATCGTAATAAAAACTATAACCCCAAAAATCCAACCAAATTCGACAACAAAATATATAACTGCTATTACAATGTCAACAAGTACAGGGAAAATCTGAAATATAATTTGATTAAGTAATGAAATGATACTATTCGTTCCTCGATCCATAACGCGTAAAACTTCTCCTGTTTTACGATTTATATGATAATCCAATGAAAGCCTAAATAAATTAACAAATTTATAAATTTTAAAATATAATAAAGATTTTAAAATTACATTACATTATAATTCTTACCCATGCAAATGCTCGAACATTTTGACAGAAATTTCACGGGTTGTATACTAGAATTAACATATCATTTTGTTACGAAAAGATTAATATAGTTAAATGGAATATAACGAAAAAAAAACTTATTTTTCTATTTTACCTGGCCAATGGGAATCCATAGAAAATTTTGCGTTGATTGAATTAGACCAACACCACCTTGCAAAAATCTAAGTAAAACGTATAATGCAATCGATTCCCATGCAAATCTCGCTATTTATAAGTTTAAAAATTCAGATTATATAAATAACGTGATAAAATATTTTAATATTTAAAACAACTTACGTGGACCATCTTCACCAACCAACTCATTTGTAATAGTCTTTAATTGTTGTGGAGTCAACACATTTATAATACGTCCAGCAATTAATAAACCAACGCATACAAATACTAAAAATTGTAGTAGAAAGTTCTTCTTGGGCCATAAAAATGGTAAAAGACTGCCCATTTTCTCAAAAAAATCAGAAAAGGCACCCTTTTCAGGTTGCCTTTGCTGTTGACCTGTTTGATCAACATTTTCATTAGATGGAAAGGTACCATAAGATGAATCGTCACCAAGAAGTCCTCGACCTGATTCAAAATCTTCTCGGCCAGAAGAGGAGCGAAAGGCATGAATCAACGATGCAAAACTTACAATGATGAGTGAAACATAACGAATGGAAGTTATATAAACAAGAGCTTGATCATAAAATGAAATTACATCTCCTAATATTTATACATATATGAATCATTAATAACTTAAATCGTTGTAAGTATGTAAATATAATTAATTAATTGTACATACCAGGTTTATTAGATATAAAATGAGTTATCCAATAATGAAAGATTAACGATTCAGCAGAAAGAGACAAAAAATAAAAGCAATAATTCACTGATGACCATTTTCCCAATTTCTTTCTTTCATAAACCATCAATGATAAATTTAAAACCCAAGCTGCCCATGATCCAACTTCATAAAAAACGATATAATTTGAGGTCCAAACTTTAGATTCTAATGCTCTAACGATGATCACGGCACAATCGGCAAGATAAGAAAGTAATATAAAACCGCTTGTTCCATAAATTATTCGGGATAAAGGCGACAACCGTCGTCTATCTATTAATGGATTATACTCTATTGTTCGAAGTTTAACTAATCTATACGTGCCAAATAATATTATAAATGATAATAAAAATACCGGGACGAATAAAAATAAAGGGAATAATGAGAACAAAGAAATTCCAGAAGTTGGGGAAAACAAAACCTTTCCCGGAGATTCGGCCGAAAAAGATACAGGCAAATTTTTCATGGTTATTTATTATTTCATAAAATTTTGTCTGGTAATGAGTTATAACGAAAGAGATTGAAGGAAAGATAAAAACTCATCTTCCATCTTTGAAATACATTGTTTGGTTTCACAAGTGTACACTGAACAGTAAGGTATTACTAATTACAAAATTTCCTGGACACAACTTGATTGGATGTTAAATCGCGCGATTTTATAATCGCGAATAATATACTTGAATAAAAGTAAAATTTAATGTAAGTATATGTAATAATCATACATAGAAGAATTTGACCATAAATAGATTGCAGTTCCTACTTCCCAAGTAAAATCTGATAGAATACATAGAATACAATAGTTACTATTGCTAGAAGATCTTTCCTTTAAGCATGATCTTCATTTTCATTTAAATGGATTACGGTTAAAAATATTATCCGAAATGTCCGAATATCCGCAGTTTCATCCCAAATAATTGATTAATCTATCCCATAATCCCATAATGAAAAAAACAACCGATTCTATATAAAAAGATAAAAATGTAATTCACAATGACTATCTTCAAATGATAAGACGAAAAAATCATAGGAAAGATAACAGAGTAAATTCATAAGTTATTGGTTCATCAAAAGAGTTTTACTATTAGAGTTATTAGAGTACAATTTCTACAATAGGGAAAGATATATTTAAAAAAGTGGATATTGGAATAAAATGATCCTGGTATCATAAAAATATATAATTTGAACTCTAATCTTTAGATCCTGACGATCGGGAAAAGTACAAAAATGCATTCCTTTATTTTTATTGCTTGTTTTGAATTTTAATTTAATTCATGAGTGTTACATATACTTATGGAGGAAAATTAATTTATGAATTTGATATTATGTGAAACAAATAAATTTATTTTATTTATTTTGTATTTTTTATTACGTTATAATTGCCAACCAATCAATGATCAGATTTTTTTTAAATATGAAAAAATGAAAAAACTAAAACTTGCCAAATTTAATAATAATTTCATTTAGATTTAATCTTCATTTCTATAAATTAAAAAGATTATAAAAGAAAGTTCACCAAATACTAGTAATTGCACGAAAAAAAAAGAACTTTGAGAATCAATTATTACCTCTCATGACCTAAAATACTTCTCAACCTTGTTATCTCATCTTCCAATTCCACCACTCGTTGCTCGAGCTGATTATAGTAGTTACGAGATCTATTGCGAGATCTTCTAGCAGCCAATCTATTTCTTTCTCTCCGTCTGGCAATTCGAGCTGCTTCGTCGAGTGAGGATCTACGACGCGATCTTCGACCCGATTGACTATTGGATGTTTCAGTTGAAGTCGTACTGCCGTTGCTTGAAGCAGGAGGAGATGGACTTGCACTATTTGGAATATCGAGTTCAGTGGAAGTGGTTCCGGGGAAAGGTGTAAAAGATTGTTCAAGATAATCTCCTGGCATTTCGTTCACAAGTGGAGGAGAAGAAACTAGAAAATATTGAGGTAGAAATAAATTTACTGCTGGAGAAGTTTCTTCTTCAACAAGTAGATTCCACCACAACATTTCAGAATTAATGAATTGATCAGACATTTTACAAAAAAACAGAAATTTTATATAGAAGAAATTATAAAAAATAAATTTTTAAATGGGCCTTTTTTATTTCTTTTTGAATTGTGAGAAAATTTTCGAATTAAGATGGTTTTTTTTTTCTCGCATCGATTTTGTAAAATGTGTGTGAGAATGTACTGATGTAAGATTTTAATGCATACTGTTATAATAATTTAGTAGCATGATGCTGATGTGTTACTTATTAAAACTTAGATCAAGATTTTTCAATATGCACTTTAAAAAAGCGATATTTTATATTGATAATAGATTATAATTTTTTTTTTATAGAAATTTTTATTACATCATATTACTTGTTTTACTTGTTTTATAATTCATGATTATCTAATAAATGTTCAATAACTCTAGTTCCCGCAGCATTTATCCATTTTCTCCTTACAATTACGGTCATATGAGCTTCACCTTCTATACGCACTAAAATTTTTCTCCAAGTCATATCTTTATGCCAATTTCTAGCTATTTTTTCTTCAATCGATAAATTGTTCTGAAGACTAGGAGGAGGTATATCTTCAGGTGTATAAACTTTGTCATGAATTATGGGTGAGATACCAGAAAAAGATCTGGTAAGATAATCTTCTGTGATCTTTGGAGGATTAAGAGATGCAAAAAAAAATTTTAAATTCTCTCTTATTCCTATTTTGATTATATCATCTTCATCGAGATCGACAAAATAAAGCGAAGAAGTTTTTAATAAAACTAAATTATCATTAACAACATTCGAATATAATGTACGATTACGAAATTTCATGAGTGCTATATGAGATGGAGAAGTTGGGATATGGATAAGAGTAAAGGTTCTTGATCTGTTTTACGTTTTTTTAAAATCAGTTCTTTACCAGTTTTACCTAATAAACCTAATTTCATTGGAATTTTAATATACCAAGCTAATTGTGTTGAACCGAGTAAAGGACTTGCAAAAGCAATAAAATGAATCGGTTCTATTTTTTCGAAGAAAGTTCCATTTGTAACACTTTGTAAATAACCTGCAACAAATAAATTAAATAATACACCTAAAGAATGACCGATCATCGAAATTTTCGAAATAAAAGGTTTATGAGATGTATTCCATCCAATATATTTTAATAGATGATTAGCTAATCTTTTACTACATTTTTCTATACCTTCCTCAGTGAGAGAATGATTTACATCTGAAGCATATACAACTATTTTATTATTATTTGAATACCTTTCTTGAATAGTTTCCCTTAAATATAATTCATCCAGGATTGAACCATTAAGTCCATGTGTTAACACTACAAGATGAATATCGTTTTTAGAATCTAAAATTGAGAGGTCAGGTAATCTAAAAATATCAATTGTTTTATAAAATTCATGAGTAATTAAAGAAGAATAATTATCAGTTTTATCAACATTTTTTGGTATAATAGCAAACAAGCTAATTTTATATTTAATTCTAGTAATAGAAAATAATATTTCGCTAATTATTTCTATAGTCCAATCTCCAATACTATTTGAAGGAATTGTTAAAGTTAATTTCCATGATTCCCCACAACTAATACTTGGCTTACAATTAGGAATAGAGTCAAGGATTTGTTTCTTTTTAACATAATCTGTCGAGACAACAGATGCTGATAAATTATAAGGTCCTGATAAAACTGCTCCACGATAAATTAATGGAGTTTTATTGGTTATTTTAATAATTAGATTATGAATAGGAGGCAAAGAATTATTAATAGGTTGATCAAATTTTATTCTATATCTTGATATTTCACCAATCGAAAGTTCTGAAAAAGAATACCAGATTCGAACAAGGTTTTGAGACATTTTTATGGAGTTGATAGGGTATTGTTAGAGGGTATTTATTTTTAAATGATAAATAATCAAGTTGTAAAACATTTATCCGAAGGCCTATTCGGCAAATAATGGTTCCGTCGGCTTTTTGTGGCATTAAATCCCAACTATTCCTAAAGAGTAAATTTATGCGGCACATACATTTTTAAAATTTTTGATTAGTTTAGAATAATTTCTTTAATGATGATAATTAATTAACTAAATTATTATAATACTTTAATATTTTATAATTAATAGAAATATTATTTTTGCATAGATATTTTAATAATTATAATTAATAGAAAATTTGAGTCGGATTTTATGAAAAATGTTTATGTAAAATAGGAATTGGCTTAAAAATGTTTATAAATAAATATATTTAATTTATAGTTGTTGAGAAGCTGGTGGTGTAGGCGGTGGTGTTAAACTTAATTGTCCTCTAATTTGATCAATCATTCTTGTTGGACCTTTTGTCGAGTTTTTAAAATTTCTTGGTGGAGTTCTATTATTATTATCGTCCTTAATGAACATATTACTCGTATTACCTCCCGTATTAAATGATCCACTATTGTCAGAACTTATATTTCTTTGCGCTGCAGCTTTCTGAATTTCTATTAAACAAAAAAAAATAAAATGTTTTTAAGGAAAAAATAGAAAATATAAATTTATTTAAAACCTTTAATTAAATGAACTAACCTAAAGCAGCAATAATTCTACTAGTCTTATCATCTTTTTCAGCGTTATTATTGGGTAATCTATTCCATCTTGCACCAATAATCTCATCATCATCATCATAATCATCATCATCATCATTATCGTCATCATAATCATCACTTAATTCAATATCTTGATTCGAAGTATTCCATTGAGATTTTAACATTTCTAGTTCATTAGTTAAGGAACTTATTACATTAGAATTTCTTGGACTTGAATCTCTTATATCATCTTCGATTTCACGATAACTATCAACGGCATGTTCCATTTGATCTAATAATAATGCAATTTTATTTTCGGATTCTCGCCACTTTTGTTCTAAATCTAAATTTTCTTTTGTGAGTTTTTCGTTTGTTGCACGATATTCGGCAATTTGTCGTTCTAACATTGCACGTGATCCTTCCAAATTTTTATTATTTATAGGTCCTTTTGGTCCAGATTTCATTGAAATAAATTCTTTACTAACATTGGAATATAGTTCATCTAATTCATTTTGAGTACCCCGTAAAGCTTTTTCGGATTCTTTTAATGATTCTCGGAGTTCTTGATCAATCAATTGTAAAGATTCATTTTCTTTACGTAATGTTTCATATTCCTTACGTAAAATTTCATATTCTGCATCCATCATATTTTTTTCGTTACAAGCACGTTCGAGTTGTGATTTTAAGCTATCAATTCTTTGTTGTAATTTCTCTTTTTCTTTAACAAATTCTGTCCTTTGTTCTTCAAGTTTTCGATTAGTCAATTCTTGTAGTTTAGAATTTTGTAATTCTTTACGTACTGACAAATTGTTTTCAGTTTCAGATAATCTTAATTCTAATTCTTCGTTACGTTTTTGTGCTGCTGCTAATTTTTCATTTAATATAACGACCTCTTTTTTGCCTTTTGTTAATTCTTCTTTCATTTTTCTTAGCATTTTTTCTGAATTATTAACGTAACGTAAAGCGGTTTGATGGTCATTTTGAACTTGATGATATTTTTGTCTCGTTTCATTAAGTTCTCTTTCTACATCTCTGGCCTTTCTTTCCGCTAATTTAAGATCGTCTTCAATATCCCTAGAGCTATCAGGTGTAACACTTTTTGATCCAGCGCTACTTGCACGATCCAATTCTATTTCAAGAATTTTAGCTCTTTCTTCTGCATCCTTAGCTTTTCTTAAAACTTGATTATGCTCATTTTCAAGTTCATCATATTTTAATTCTAATTCTTTAAATCGATTTGATAAAATTCCTCCTTTATTATCATTATCTAAAATCCCTTTTTCTGTTAATACGTTTCTCATCATTCCCACTTGTACTTCAGCATCTTCAAGAGCTCTTGTTTTTTCCGTTAATAATAATTCTTTTTCACGTAATCTATCTTTTGTTTTTGCGTTCTCATCTGATGCTTCAACTAATTTACGTTGCAACATAGCGGAATCTGACCTTGCTTTCATAGCAGCACCTTCCATTTGTGAAATTTTTACCATAGCATCCGCAAGTGAATTTGAAGTTTCTTGAGAAATTTTTTGTGAATTTTCATTGAAAGATTTTAAATTGGCAATTTCTTGCTCAAGCATCTTTATTTTTTTTGCAGCTTCAGAAGAATTATTATTACCTTCATTGTTCAAACGTGAAGTGTTTAATAACTCTGTCATTCCTTCTTGCATCATAGCACGCACTGCATCAACTTCTTTTTGAGCTTTAGCCAATAATCTTTCCATCTCATTAGCTCTTGCATGAGTACGGTCTAAATCTCTCATTTTAATATCCAGTTCAGCCCTTAGCCCTGCTGCTTCTTTTTCTAAACTAACGATATCTTGACGAGCTTGTATCCATAATGATTCTGCTTCATTCGCTCTATCATTAGCGGCTAAAACAGCAATATTAACCTTTTCTAAGGTCCTTTTATGTTGTTCAAGTGATTGTTGTAATTGATCGACTTGGTTACGTGAATTATCAGAACTTGAACGATACTGTGAAAGTTCCGCCGTAGCTTCGGTTAAACGTGCACCATTTTCTCTTAATTGAGATTCAGCTGCGGTGGCACGAGATTGCAATGTAGCCAATTCCGTTAATGCACGTGCATGGGCTTCTTCAGCTTCTTCAGCTCTTGTTGTAGCTGACTTTTCACGTGTTTCGGCTGCTTTTCGCGAACTTTTATCATGATTTGAAGTTTGTTGAAGTTGTGATATTTTATTTTGCAGTGATTCTTTTTCTAAAAGAGCTTGTTTTAACCTTTTTTCTAAATCTGTTGCACGTTCAATTTCAATTCTAGCGAGTTCTGATTCTGACGCATCTAATAAAGCGTTCAATTTTGCTTTAAAATAGACAGCTTCTTGGATAGCTGCTGTTCTTGCACGTTCTGCATCCGTTATTTTTTGCGAAGCAACTTGAGCCTGATTCGCAATTGTTGCTTTTGCTCTTCTTAATTCTTGTTTTATTTTGACGACTGCTAACATAATTTTATTACGATCAGAACCTGCTTCACCGATATCCATCAAATTTTCAGTATTAATTCCGTCAGGTAATTTATTATCATGATCTTCTTCAAAAGCATAACCTGCTTGTCTAGCAAGAGCAAGTTCAGCCTTCAACCAAGTTTCGCGATTCTTAAACTGATTTAATTGTACATCTCTATTCTGTAATTCACGTAAGAAATTATCTCTTTCCGTATTAGATATAGGAGCAGGAAAATGATCAAGAGCATCAAAGGTAGGAGATCTTAAACTATTCTGACTCATTATAGATGATGAAGTTGGTGATGATATGGTACCACTACCGCCATTACCATATATTGTATAGTTACTTTGGGGATTTACGAATTGATTGGATGACGAACTGTTGCTGGAAGAATTTGGAGGACGGGGTGCTTGACGTGGATTTTGAAAATCTCCAATTGCACCAGCCATATACATAGGTAAATTTGTCTTATCGTAAGGACTCCCAGTAGCTTGTGATTGAAATGGTCTACTTAATTCAGAAGTTGGAGATTGTTTATTGAGACTTTCAAAACTTTGTTTATGGCCAGCTGGCGGTGATAATGGACGAGATGATTCCGACACTTCTCCTAGATTGTTATTATATGAAGAATTCGATAAACTAGATGGTGAACCATTTGGTGGTCGTTTAGGAAAAAATTGATTTCTTGGACTTCCAGGTTGATGTCCCATAGGTATAATTTTTGGCGAAGGTACTGGTGAATTTAAAGAACTTTGACTTCCAGATGGTGAAATTTGTTTTGACCTATTATAATATGCAGAATTATAATCATTTGGTGGTAATTGTCCATTAGGGTTCATTGAGCTTTGTCTTGTAGTCATAATATTACTAGAAAGTTGATTTGGTGATTGTGGTGCAGATCTATTATTTTCTAGGCCTGACATTGCTCTCGCTTGTTGTTGCACTGTTGTTCTTTGATTTTGAGATGGGTATTTTATCTTGGCTATTTTTTTTTAAAAAACAAAACCCCCCAAAAGAAACAAAAAAAAAATCAGTTAATAAATTAATTTGGTTATTAATAAAATAGATACATACATGTGTCTAATATGTTAATAATGCCATCTTCGTCCGGTTTTGGAGATTGTAAACAATCACCTCCAAAAATTAAAGCTTTGTCCCGGCTAGTTGTCATCACGAGACCTTGTCTAGGACATGGTGCTATTCCCATTTCGGAAAACATGTACCATCTTTTATCTACATAAATAAATGATTTCAAATTAACGTTCACAAACATGGTTTTTTCTTGGAGCCGGAATATAACCTATACATGATAATTCACTCCATGCATTGGTTTGTATATCATACTGCCATGTATCATTATAGTATTTATCTCCATCAGTACCGCCAAAGCTATCAATAAAATTATTATTTTAATAAAGAATAATCATCTATTTTTTTTTTTTAAGAAACGATTTCAACATCACATACATGTAAATTTTATCGTTATACGCGCATATTGTTTGACCTGATCTGCCTGCTGGAGGATCGTTTAATGGAGTAATAAATTCCCATTGAGCTACACCATAATTAACTATAAATGTAAAAGATGTTTCTTAATTCTCAATCCCAAAATAATATAGTAAATTTCAAAAAAAAAAAAAAAGAACTTACGAGATTGTAGGTCAAATGCGAATAGATCGTTCAGGAAATATCCATCAGATTGTCCACCAAAAATATACATTTTTGACCCGATCACAGTGGCCGAATGAGCAAATCGTCCAACATTAGGATTGCCTTGTATAGGCGGTTTATACCATTGTTTCGTATCTAAATAGGAACAATCATAATAAAAAATTCACGTTTATCATGATTAAATATTATTCTCACATTTGAAAACATTTAAAACTTTTTTCTTTTTACCGGTATTTAATATATATATGTTGTTATCAGGTTTCTCTATTGGATTCATTGGTAAACCACCAAAAACTAAATAAAATGGGATAAATATTTAGTTATAATGTAATTAAACTTGAGCATTAATCTAAATATAGGTACCGATCATATTATTTCCAATATTAACTTGTGTGTGAAAACTCCGCGGCGGTGGAATATCTCCTGTCGTCATTAATCCACAAACATTGAGCGTATCTGTTTTAAAAGCATCGTCAGCATTTGATAACGTAATAGAAATAATTTCATATAATTCATCCAAACTTACTTGTTTCTATCATAAATATATCATTAGTTACACGTCCATTAGATACACCACCAAATAAATATAGTTGGTCATTAATGCCGCTTTGATTTATAGAATGACCATATCTTGGAAAAGGGTTCGATATAGAAAGTGTTTTTTGAGACCAAGGACTTTGTTTTTGTTGTTTTTGTTTTTTTGTGAACATGATGCCAAATTTTTATGGAATAATATTAAAAAGTCATACGAATAATGATGTGGGAAAGAAGGGTTTAATATTTATTAAAATAAAGAATTCTAAAAGAATGTAAGAATAATAAATAGGGAAAGTTGGCTTTTTAATGTGTTTAGCCCTTGGATATTTGTAGGAAGGATGACTTTAAAATGGTGGGTAAGAATCCTTTAGTCTTCTTCCTTCTTCCTTTTGAAAGTTGTTTTATTTTGTTTGTTAATTGGTTATACGCTTATTTATTTTATTTTTAATATAAATCAGTTCGTTTACGTTTATGCATTTGTTTGTACCACTCGTTTGCATATTCTGAATAACCTATCAGCTATGAGAAGGTAAGAATCGTCTAACATTTAAAAATTTATTAAATGGATTCTTATTCAAATCAGAATTTAAGATTAAAATTAATTATATTATTAATTATTTTCGTATGTGTTTTTTTTAAAAAAAACAAACGTTTTCTCGGAAAATCAAATTTAATTTCTCCCATTATTATTAGGAAAATATTGTGGATTATCAAACGAATATTCATGTGAGAATTTATTCAATTACTGTATTCGAATTTTCGAATGGTTCATCCTATTACTCATGGAATTTTCATGGAATAACTGTAATTTAAACATTGAACTTTTTGATAATAAAAGTACAGCGATTGTAGTTTCTCTTTCGCTAATTTTATATTGGCTAGATTATTATAATTGTCTAGTTCATATGGTAAATGTCCTTTTCCAAAATTGGAAAACAACTATAAAAATGAAAGAATCATTAAGTTTATCTTTGGTAAAGACGCGTTGACAAATCATTTACTATTAATTACCAAAGTAGTGTTATTATATAAAAGATAATGGGTAGAGAATAGGATGAAGACAATAAATAAAATAAATGCACATAATATTTCGATCATTTATTGGTACTAACCAAACTAACCGAAAATGGATTCATAATTCTAGTAAACCAAATCTGTGCATAATGCGATTGATGCGGCCGTAGTTTTATTGATAAATTCCCGTAAATATACACATATGGGAGTGTCGGTTCAATGTCCAATGTCAGTTCTGCTCACGCAATCATAATGTATTAATTATTCTTGACAATGCGGCTAAAGGCAATTCATCATATCATTATTTATTATAGTTACTTTGAAATACTTTTAAAATAACTTCAATATCATTATAAAAAAAATTTAATGCAATTTTATTAAATTTATTAAATTTACTAACGTTTATATTTTTTATTGCTAAAAAGATCTAAGTACAATAATTAATACTCTTTAATAAACAAATCTATTATATGCAAAATAATATAACTATCCTTGAAAGCATATCGTATCATTTGCAACATATTCTGACAAATAACAAGACGTCTATTGACCACCCCGAAGACGAAGTACGAGATGGAGAGTAGATTCTTTTTGAATATTATAATCCGATAAAGTACGGCCATCTTCCAATTGTTTACCAGCGAAGATCAAGCGTTGCTGATCTGGAGGAATACCTTCCTTATCTTGAATCTTTGCTTTAACTTGGTCTATGGTATCAGAGGACTCAACTTCAAGGGTAATTGTTTTACCGGTGAGGGTCTTGACGAAAATTTGCATACCACCTCTTAAACGGAGTACGAGATGGAGAGTTGATTCTTTTTGAATATTATAATCTGACAAAGTACGCCCATCTTCCAATTGTTTACCAGCGAAGATTAAGCGTTGTTGATCTGGAGGAATTCCTTCCTTATCTTGAATCTTTGCTTTAACTTGATCAATAGTATCATTGGACTCGACTTCAAGGGTAATGGTTTTCCCAGTAAGGGTCTTGACGAATATTTGCATACCACCTCTAAGACGGAGTACGAGATGAAGAGTTGACTCTTTCTGAATGTTGTAATCAGATAAGCTACGTCCGTCTTCCAACTGTTTTCCGGCAAAGATTAAGCGTTGTTGATCCGGAGGAATTCCTGTAAAAAATTTTCATAATAGGGTAAGATTAGAAAAATGATTTATAAAGTGGCGCAGTAAAATATTATGATGAACACAATGTAATTGTCCTTTCTCTTTGTATACTTTTGGAAAATATGCAAACACTTTTTTTTTTCCTTTTTTTATTTATTTATTTATTATAATATAACGAATATTAAGACTTATATATTACCTTCTTTATCTTGGATTTTTGCCTTGACTTGGTCAATAGTATCTGAAGATTCAACTTCGAGAGTAATGGTCTTGCCGGTAAGAGTCTTTACGAAGATTTGCATGTTTGAAATTTAAAATTTAAAAAGTCGCAGTATAAAAAAAATAAAAAGGTATTTGACAAAAAAAAAGTATGTTGAACAAAAGGTTGTGGTTGTTTGAGACTGAAGCTGAGAGCAGGGCTATTTATATATAAATATTTATTACGATATTTGTAATCAGAATGATCCAGAATAGTGTATATATGGCGTATGACTCAATTTTGTGTAATTCACCTAAAACGCAAAGGCAAATGAATGACTACTACGTAAAAAGTTCGTGAATCGTTACAAATTTGTCAAGTACTAATAACGAAAATTTACTTTTTAATCCAATTTACCATATATATATTTGAGTTACTGAAAATGAAAAATTACGCCGGTAATTTATATTTTTGTATAACAAAAACACAAATGCTTCCTGTTCGTTGGGTATTCATATCTGATATAGGCATATGAAATTCGGCAAATCACGTGCATCGAGGCAATACAATAAGCTTTACGCTTATTCTACGCTTATTCTTTCTTTTCCATTGCAACTTTTTATTGACGGTTGGTTGCTTCGATTTGAGCTTAGTCTCATTCTCGCTGCAAAATATTACCGTCGAGAACCCCCAAAAAATCGCTAACTGTTCCTTCTTTATATTATTTATTCATGTTTTTTTATAGGTTTAGTGATCTCAACGAATTTATTTTTTTAATTTGAAATCCAGAGATTTCAATTTGATTTTTTAGTTGTTATTCTAATACAAATGAACAATGTTTGGAAAAAAGAAAAAACAACAAAAACAAATTCCTTTGGATGTAAATAATTCGGTTCCATATTCTCAAATCAGGCCGCCTGTTCATTCGCCTGGACAAACTCCTAATACGTATAATTCAGGTTATCATGGTAATGCTCAATATGGCCAGCAACATCAGCAACAAAGTTTTTCTCATTCATATTACCAAGATTCACATTATCCCCAACAGTATGGTCAACGTCCACAGTCACCAGGATCTAACAATCAGCAATATTTTCCAGATAATTCGGGACATCAGACTCATTCAAGAAGCCAATCGCAAGAACATAGTCCACAATCTCAATCGTCCTATAGTTTTCAAGATAGCGCTTCATCAATTACAAGATATAGTTCTGAAAATTCCTCCGTAAGGTCTTCAGGTGCTTTCTCTAGTGATATACATAATTGGGTAGGCAGTGTTTTTGGTGTAAACAAGGAACCTGCTAAGCCTTCTGATGCAGAAATTGAAAATTTGTTTTTGGATTTAATGGTACGAATACGAATTTATTAATACAATTGAATTATCAAAAAATTCTTTAATTATAACTTTTTTTTTTTTGAGTAGAATAAAAGAGATTTGAAGGTATCTCAGAGAAAAGATATGTTAGCTTTTCCGACAGAAAAAAAATGGATTCTAGTAAAAAATGAAATGATACAAGAAGAGGTTTTATTGTTATTTAATTTTAATTATTACATATTATTATATTATTATTATTAAATGAATTTTCCTTAAATAGAAATCATCAAAATCAGGCTCGACAAATGTAATAGCATCTTCACATGATAAAAATTCACCCGAATATTTTCTCAAAAAAATTTTGGATGGTACAATAACTATCAAAGATATGAATTCTCTTAGTGTTTCCCTAAGAACTTTAACGTTAAAGTGTGTAGAAGTTTGAATAATGTGGCATATGAATTTATAAGTAATTATTTTATTTTGTTCTTTAGGTGGGTGAGGTCATTCATTGATGCTAAAGGTCTGGAGGTTCTTGCAAATCGTCTAAACATTATTACACGGAAACCTGTCAAGTTGTATTAGTTTTCTAAATCTTTTTTTAGTAATAATAATTCATTTATACTGTATTATTAAAATTTTTTTTTCTTAACTAGGAAAGAATTGGATTTGCAAATGGAGTACGAAGTTATCAAATGTTTAAAGTCATTATTAAACAACAGAGTATGTTACAAGAATATTATAGTTGTGTTGGATAATTCAAAAGGATTATTAATTAAACCTTTTTCGCATACATAGTGGGGTGCACAAGAAGCTCTGTCACATCCAACATGCATATATAGCATTACATTCTCACTTGTTTCTCCTCAATTAAATACACGGAAACTTGTGGCCGAAGTTCTTTCTTTTTTCTGTTATTGTGAAATTCCTACTGGTCACAATTTGGTATTGGGAGGTTTTGACCAGCTTATGCAATTTCAAAATGAGCATGGTAGATTTGATGCATGGATGAGAGTGTTGGAAAATACAATTGATGGTCGTGGTCGTTTAGGTAGTTTTGTTAATGCAAGTGATGAATACAAAAAAGGCGGTATAGGAATGGATGGTTCATTAATGGAATATGCGGTAAAATTTTACAACATTTTCTATATGATTAATTTCCAGCAAAACATGATTATTTTACTTTATTCATTTTATATTGTGTTATCTCTGAATTTCGTTGTTTTATCTTAGCTTGCCAACATGATCTTGGTGAATTCGATTATTGGTGTATGTGATGACGTAGAAATTAGAGTGCACTTAAGGAATCAGCTGCACGCATGCGGTTTGTCGCGTATTATCGAAGTGAGGATTTATTACACTCTTAGCGCATTAATTTATAATTTGAATCATCTAATAATTATTTATTTGATTAGAAAATGAAAACTTTAAATTATGATTTAATTAATCGTCAAATCAGTAAATTTGAACGAGAGAGTGAATTAGATTATGAAGAGGTTTTGGATTACTATAATCACCAAATTTTAAAGGATATGACATATCCTTTTATTATCTTGGCTTTTGTTGAATATAACATTAATATTCTATATTTACTAGAATACTATTTTTTTAAAAAAAAAATTAACAAAATAATTAAGTAATTCCTTAACTCGTATCTTACTGATCCTTATGACGTTTTTAAATGTATTCTTAGTTCAGTTGAAGGAACGCGAGCATATGATTTCTTTTTGTCATCGTTGCAACATATGTTGTTAATTCGTGACGACGGCGAGACAAGGTATATTATAAAATTTAGTTTAAAATTATTATTAATTTCTCACAAGGAGATTTATTTTATAGAACACGTTATTTTCAACTTATTGATGCTTTAATTACTCAAGTTGTTCTTGATCGGCGAGGACTTGACCAAGATTGGAGTAATTCAGTTAGCATAACCGTTTCTCAAGTTCTAAGTAAAATGGCTGATCAGGAGAAAGTTGCAACTGCTCTTGAAGAGGCGAAGGAAGCTAAAGCAGTAGCTGAAAAAGCATTACGTGAAAAACAGGAGTTGCAAAATGAGCTTTCCTTAGGAGCAGGTAAGAATAAATTGAATTATACGACTTTGTTAATTTGTATGGGAAGTTGAGGTTAATATATTAATTTTATTGTCACATCGGCTAGATGGAAAGGTTGGTGAATTGAAAAACAAAATTGATTCACTTGAAGATCTCTTGCGGATTTCACGTCATACCATACAAACTCTACAAACTAAACTTGCTGATCTTGAAGCAAGTTATCTTGAAAAATTGTCTGAGCAAAATGTACAAATACGAGAATTTGAATCCCAGTTGAAAGAGCAACAGCGTGACTCTGATTATTCCTTAGATCGGCAGGAAATGATTAAAAAGTTGGAAAGGATGCAGGAAATAGCTAAGACAGAAGCTATTTTAGAAGGTCAAGTTTGGACACCATTTGATGGATTCAGGGTTAGTATTATATTTACATTTAATATAATTTATTCCTATATTTATTTGATATGAATATTTGTTTTTATTATAACAAAGATGCCTAATGTCGACCTATATCGATATAACGCTCCTACCAATGTTACAAATGATGCTACTACAAATACTGGATATGCTTCAGAGTCAACTGGTTCTCAATTTTATCCATATCAAGAAGGATATGGTCAAGGTTCTCCTGGTGGTTTTGTAATTCCACAACAGCCAACACCAAACGCCCCAACACCAAACGCCGGTCCTAATTATAATTCAATTTATGGTAATCCCCCCCAAGATCCAAATAATAATTATGCAAACGCTTCTTCAGATGGGGTATTAAAAATGCCAGAGATGCCACCCTTTTTGGATGAGCTTAAAGGGTTACAAAATAAAAGCAACGAAGCGGCTCAAGAACATAATGGTGAAGTTTTGACGGAAGACCATGAAGAAAGACCTACGGGGAAGCCACAATCTCCACCAATACAGTCACCAGATGCTTCAGAATTACCACAAGAAACATTATTATCACCGACAAGTCCAAAACATTCTTCACAATCATCTGAATTACCACCACCGCCATCAAGTTCTGATGGACCACCCTCACCACCTCCCCCACCTCCTCCACCCCCTCCGCCACCAAGCTCTGATGGACCACCACCACCTCCTCCACCACCTCCTCCACCTTCCTCAAATATTGGTGGACCACCACCACCACCGCCACCACCACCTCCACCACCACCACCGCCAGGAGCCATGGGAGGTCCACCACCACCACCGCCACCACCCCCACCACCGGGAGTTATGGGAGGTCCACCACCACCACCACCACCGCCAGGAGCCATGGGAGGCCCTCCACCACCACCGCCGCCACCAGGATTTAAAGGAGGTCCACCACCACCACCTGGTCCCCCTCTACCAGGAGGACGTTTTGCTCCTATAGCAAGTAAGCGAAAGGTGTTTTTTTAAAATTTTAATTCAATAGTGACTTATTTACTTTATTAAAATTAGATAATGGCCGTAAAATGCTTCCTTTCGTTGCCAAAAAGAAGATGAAAGTGTTACAATGGGATAAGATAAATCAATTAACAATAAACAAGACGTTATGGGCAAATTTAAGTGATGATGAAATTCTTGAATTGCTCGGCGGGGAAGATGGAGTTTTTAGAACTATTGAAGAATTATTTGCAGCTAAAGAAGTAGCTTTAAGGAGTATGTTTTATTATGAATATTTCAACTTATATCAGACTAAATATTAAGTAAATAAATATTAATTAAATTTAAATAGAAAAGAAAGCTGAAAAAAAAGATGAAATAAGCGTTCTTGATTCTAAACGGGCTCATAATATTAGTAAGTGATTTCTTTCATTAACACTACTTTATCGATATGTTGATTAAAATATCTTAATTCTTATTTGTATACAGATTTGATCCTTGGTCGTTATAAAAATTATACATTTGAAGAAATTCATCAAAAAATCATTGAAATGGATGAATTGTTCTGCACAGAGAACCTTCTTAATCAATTAATGCAACATATACCAACTGCAGAAGAGGTTAGCAATGGCTAAATGAAATAATATTTCATATTTTTATATTTGTTTTTCTAATTATTATTTTTGTTAATAGCGTGGTAAATTGTCAGTTTATAAAGACGGACCAGATGAGGTGCTTGAAAATCTAGCTCGACCAGATAAATTTTTTGTTGAAATCATGAAGATTCATCGATATCAACAACGTTTGAAATTCATGTATTTCTATATTACTTTTAATGAGAGGTTTAATGGTCTTGATAACGTTAGTATATTAACGAGACAAATAATTGTACTTGTTATTTGAAACGATTATAATTATATTTGTATCTATTTATTAATTATTTATAGTCCGTTGTCTCGATATTGAATGCTTCAATAGCACTCAAAGAGTCTAAACATTTCAAAGAACTTCTAAGCGTAAGTTGTATGAATTTATATTAATTAATGTTTATTACACTAATTGGTTTAATTATAATCTAACCTATGGGCAAATAATTGTTAGCTTATTTTATTATTTGGTAATTATATGAATGGAAGTGGTCATAAGGGTGGCGCTTTTGGGTTCAAAATTTCTAGTATTAATAAGGTAAGTAATATATTAGATATTTGTTAATATTTTTATAATAAACATCTAATAAATCTAATAAATATCAATGATTTATTGCACTTAGCTTGTTGACACTAAGGCATCTAATAGTAGTTCAGTTACATTACTTCATTTCCTTTCAAATACTGTTGAAGAAAAGTTACCACATATAGTAGAGTTTGCTGATGATTTAAAAGACACAGGATCCGCATGCAGAGGTTGGTTAAAAATTTTTTTTTTATAATTAGTGGTTCTCTTAATATCATTATTAATGTTTGTTTATTTATCTAGTTTCACAACAAGAAATGACTAGTGAATATAGGACGATGGGAACACAGTTGAATGACCTCGATTTTGAACTTCAAAAGCACTATATAGATGTTGAATTAGAAAAAAATGATAGATTTCCAATTGTAATGAAAGACTTTGTTATTAAGTCAAAACAGAAATTTGAAGAACTTCAAGTTAAATATACTTCTATGGAAGTAGCTTACAAAGATGTAGTAGCATACTTCGGTGAAGATCCAAATAATACTAAACCTGATGAATTCTTCGGAATATTTAAAACTTTCATTGCATCATTTGAGGTTTGTTTTTTATTGCTGTATTTATTCCGAACTTATATTATTGTATTCAATTCTAATAACATTTATTTTGCAGAAAGCAAGATATGATAACAAGCAACAGCGTGAACATGAATTACTAGCTCAAAAACGAAGAGAGGTATTTGTTATTAATTACATTTTTGATTTCTATTTTATATTTATTAATGGTTTTTTGTTTAAAAATAGGAATTGGAGAACCGCAGAAAAAATGCTCATGTCAATCCAGTCAGAGTCACTCCAACTTCACAAGATTCACAAGATTCTATAGAAGAAAAGCATCTTATGGACAATCTATTGGAAACTTTAAGAGATGGAAGAGATTTGGATACTCGATCTCGAAGAAAACGTGGTGAAAGGGAAAAACGTATAGGAAGAAGTATGTCAATTGCATTGAAAGCTGAAAGTATATTAAACAGTCTTAAAGAAGATGAACCACCAATGCCGGAAATACCGAAAGAGATTGTAACCAAATAAACATTTACTTATAATTTATACGTTTATCAATTTTTTTTCTTTTGTACAAAAATATTATGTATGTTATTAATTGGCCATGGACTATAATATAGTTTATTTAAAATATTTATTTATTTTATTATTTCGAATATAATTCAAAAAAAGGTTACATTTTTATATATATTTTTTAATAAAATTTTTAATTATATATCTTATATATCATCGTATCTCAATAATTATAATAAATTATTTAGAATTTTGCAGTTTTGTGATCTGATTAATGAATTTGAGATTATGTTTATAAGTAGCAATATTTTATATATTATATCCCTCCTTTGAAACCTGCCAATCAAATATTTAATATTATCATAAGTTCATGCAGATTTTACATAATTGTTATTTAGGTCGGTTATCTCTCTCATTCTACATAGGCCTGCCGGTACATATATCAAATCGATTGTCGCACAGATTGAATCATATAAAAAAGGTGCTAAACTTTGAGATCGTGACGCGCGTCACAGTCTCAGGATTTACGGTAGTAAGTAAATAAAAAAATTACATTGAAATTTAGTCTAAAATTAAACTAAACCTCTCCATACCAAAACTTTAAAACATTGTTTAAAGTAGAAACTAACGTAACCAGCGTGCTATTCACGTAAAAATAAAACTAAATAAATCTAAGCTGTAAGTATTTACTAAATTACCTATTACCTGATTTGCTATTTTAAATCGATCTGAATTGCCTAATCTAAATACGTCATCCTTTGTTTTTTCTGCTAAATCTATTTTTAAAATGTTTTTAATTTTTTTATTCTTTTTTTGTTTTTCAATATTATCTAAATCTCTCTCTCCTTCGTCACTACTATCTTTAACTCTCTTCTTTTTTCTCTTTAGATCTTTAAAAATTCCCATTTGTTTTTCTAATTCTATTGTTTCTTTGCATCGTTCCATCCATATCAATTTTTGAATATTGGTCAAGTATTTGTCCAGAACCAATCTCAGCAATGATTTTTCACTACCAGTCTTACATATTCTGAGCCATTTTTCGTTGATTAGTCCTCTCGTCAATTCTCTAAACCTTCTGTGGTCATTATGTTTGATATAGTTGATGCTACATCCAAAATTTGTTCTTCAAATTCAGGACGTTGTTTCGACGCTTCGTTGACATTCAAATCATCGGACAACACTTTATTGATACTTTTTTTTAATAAAGCCATTTCAGTGACACCATTATTTTTCATACATATCCATATATGTTCCCATGTTTCATCCTCAATCGTGCATCTAGGGTATTTCGTACTTGGAATTCCCCATACTGCTCTTTTCCATAATGTTTCATACGTTGGAAGTAATTTAAGAAAGTTTTTAACGCGCCAAGTTCTAATTGAAGCGTCATTTCTACTTGTAACGTTCTTTGATGTCGTCACTTCGTTATTAATTAGTCTAAAGCTTTCTTTCCAATTAATAAAAATATTAGCTCCATTTGCTTCAATAAAACAATCTTTGTCATAATCCAATAAAATCACGTCGATTTTTGTAATATTATTACTTAATCCCTTAAACCATGACCTAAAAGCTCCTTCAATTGGAACATTATTCCAACATAGACTATATTCATCTACTATTAAATTATCCATCTTCAATTTAATTTCTGCAATTGATTCTTTATTCTTAACTCTTTTTTTAATGCTGGTAGTTTCACTTCTTGCATCGTAACCTGATGTCCTTCACGCCATTTAGGCATTTACTACCTTTAATGTTATATTTTTTAACTCCAAGATTGTATTTATCAAATTTAAATATATAAAGACCATCGTCTAGTTCTCTCCTTGTACTTCCCATTTCACTATAACTCGATAGCCATAAGGCTATTTTTAAATCTGTTCGTAAATCTATCATAATATTACATAGTAGCATAATTACCGCTATTATTAACGCTACAATATAAATTTTACGTTCATTTTTAACTGAAACAATTTTTCCTTCAAAATTAAATTTATCCACTTCACTGTTTTTTGGAATTATTTCTAATCCAAAAAAACCGTCTAGACATAAACCATTTCCTTTCTGTACATTCCACCAATTTGTAATACTACTTCTTTATCTACAAATTGTTTCATTTTTCCCAATACAAAATTTTTAATTATGTCATAAGCGTCAGATTTTTCCATGATAAATTCAATCCATTTCATACTATTAAAAACCATGTCATCCATTACACTATCAATTTTCATTTCACTTGATTTCTTAACATATAAGTCAGTAATCTTATCTTTACTTACGATCTCATTTCTTAAATATATATTTTCACTTGTCATATACGGTTTATACACTTTCTGATCCTTTTCATCATTCACGATCCTTCCTTTAATCGTTAAAGCTATATCTTTTTCTATATAAATCATACATTTTTCTTTGTTTAATTTCCTTCCTATGTTAAAATTACACCCCTTACAATCTACTAAAATGGGGAATTTTCATTACCATTATTAGTTTGTAATGTGTTATAGTACTTTATTAATGCATGCAAACGATAAATACAAGCGCGAGAGTACATGATAAAGCTTCTATGCTACAATTCCGAACTTAAGTTTATTGCTTGAAGTGTTGCAGGTAAGACAATATTCCAACTTATCTTGGGATAGCAACTTCGCTAATTCAGGATCATAAGGGAACTGATTCCCATTTTCGCAGTACCATAAGCCATATAATCCATAATTCTCATGTTTTCCATCACAAATAGGATATGGTGAACTCCACGGCTGAGGTGATGTAAAATCATAATTATCAATCCCTCTGAAACTATTTTTGAATTTCAAGTATGGGAAGTGCTCTAAGACAGATTTGATAGTTAATTCTGGATCGGGTCTGACCTCAAAAGTTATAAGCCCTGTTTCTTCACATTGCTCAGAAGAGGATAAATAGGATACTTTATTTTCTGGCTTCAAATTTATGAGAAGGCAATCTTCTGATAATTGCCATGGCTCATGCCCAGTTTCTTTTTTATATTTTTTGTATAAGTTAGACCAAATCTTATCTGTCAAAATGCTTGGTAACCCAGTTAATTTGGCATGCCAATCCAGGTATTCGGAAGTTAATATTTTATTGGATTCGCTCATGTTTCCTTTTTTCTATGATCACAGATCAATTTAAATCCCTTTTTTCTCTTTAGTTCGAAAAAAGATTAAAATTCCCAGATAGAAAGCTGTCTAATATCTTTTATCATATTTCCAAAAAAATAGTTAGATCATCTCCCACAGGGGGAGGCTATGCAGTTGTCTCAATTTCGCGCTGTTCACATGTAATAAAGTAAGATCTGGATTTATACATACCTTCTATACTTTCCTCGTCATTATGATCTAAACTGCATAATGAGCATGATGTCTCGTCAGTAATGCCATAATAATCGAAATTTTCATTACTAAATTCTCTATATAAAGCAGGATATTGGTCTAATGTTTTGTTGCAAAAATAGGTGCGGTCATAGGGTGGACTCTTGGATTGAGGAATAGGTGGTACCACCTTTACCTTGGTATCCAATTTTTTTGAGCTGGAAGAATCACCTGAAGAATTGGAGACATCAGTTTGACTGGAGGCATCATCATTAATAGAATTATTCTGGTCATTGCTTAAATCTATACTGGACTTATTTGAAAAATGATCCATAATCTTTTAGATTTCATCATTTGCACTATATGACTTGATATATTGGATTTTATCTAATCCTATTTTTTCGAGAAGTTTGTAGATCTTCTCAGCTCTCTGAGTTTTTTTGTGCAAACTACTGGCTTCAGGATCCACTACCCTTTGGTCTTCGATCTGCTGGGTGGGATGCTGTTCTGGTTTGTGAACATTTTCAAATGACTCATCATCAGCCTGTAATAGATCATGATGTAGAAGCTGACAATCTTTTAAGGTTAGTGGCAAATCACGTTCTTATTCTCAAATGTTTCCCAGACTTTCTTGCATGTTTATCAACTACTTGGTCTAGACTTTGGTTTACATCTTGTAGGGTAGGAGAGGGAACTTGCGTTTGGGAAATAGATTCTGGCTCGAGAACTGGAGTTGGGTTTATCACTTGTAGCTTATTCTTTCTTCGATCCTTTCTTTTGGTATGGTCTACTGGAGCTGGTGATTGAGGTCTAGGGAGTGGTTGTAGCTCAGAAGATTTTGGGCGAACTGGTTTTGGCTTGCATTTAAACTTTCTTTTAAGATGAGCTGTTAGATCACGGGTCTTTTTAAAATCATCTTTACCACATCGTGGACATGGTGGTATCATTTTAGATATAAATGTATACTTTCAGATGTTTGTATTAATAGTACGAAAACTTTTGTTTAAAATAAATTACTTATTTCAGGTGCACCTATACAGGTATTTGTATTAATACTACAAAAGTCTTTGCTTAATTTTTTTTACACCTGGGTGTTGCTACTCCGGTACTTATATTAATATTATGAAATCTTTTGTTTAAAATAAAATATTTATTTCTTATTACTATGATAGGCGAATATTCTTGCAGCTATTTATTCAGAACTGGAGATGTTTGTGGGCGGACCTGCCATCGGCCTGAAGGTTGCCATGAACATTGGAAAGCTAGAAAGTGTCTTCCTTGTAATGTTTGTGATAAGCCAACTAGCTCTGAACCCGGCCTTTGTAACCCAGTATATTAATAGGCTTGGAGATAGAGCCATTGGATACTTATTGGGAGGTAATTTAGGGTTGAAAAATTTTCACCTAGCCCAAATTTTTTTATACCTAGTCCAAAAAATTTACACCTAGCCCAAATTTTTTTACACCTGAGGTTAGACTTTTTGTCTTAATGATTGTGTGGAGAAATTGGCTTCAGAATGGTTTTCTGTATATTGAAAAAATACTGGTATGATAGAACTTATGCTATGGCTTTTTGGTTTAGTTATCCGTATACAAAAAAAATTTACACCTAAGACGAGCTTAGGTGTAAATTTTTTATTTTGTTTACACTTATGAATCAGCTCTAGAATTATTTCTAGGATAACATGGAACTTTGTATGCTAATTATGCTTGATTGGTCGAACCTCAAGCACACTCGAACACTTCGGTCCTTGGTGCTTGAGATTCTTTTCAGGGGCAAGCAGTATAGCATACTTTTTCGTTATATTATTTGGGATTAAAATCAGGTTAGAATGGCTATATGAAACAGTTTTATTTTTTGGTATCCCAGGCTTAATTCTAAGCCAATTTTGATACCAGAAATTTTTGGATAGCAGGAAATTAACCCAGCTCGATTTTAAGCTTGAATTTAATATAGGATTCTCGATATGTTTCCTGGTCCTCACAACTGATTTGGAGTTCAATAAAGATTACAAAAATTCGTATATCGGGAAAGTGGCCGGGGAGCCACACACTATTTTATACCTATTCGGAAATTTTGTCCTAGAACTCCCAAGTTGGCCTATATCAAATAGTAATGATACACCCACTATAAATACCCTCTATGATAAATGCATCCTTTAGTCTTGTCTCAAGCTTATATGTTTTATAATTATTTTACTTTAAATACACTATTTTGAAAATTATGCATATGGTTCTAGCCAATTTATAGAGTGTTGACTATAGTAATTTTAATTATTAAGAACTTCAGATAATATGTATTTTATAAACTTTATGAATAAAATTGTTTCCAGCAATTTTGGAAGGGACTAAATTAACGTAAATTCCATTTTCATCTAAAAAATGTAGAAAGTCTAACTATTGGTCTCATAATTTCATCATTATTCAGTCAAATGAAGATTGATTTTGAAAGAAATGGAACCAAAATAATTTACCACTTGTTTTTTACCATATCAACTTTTTGTCATTGATATTTTCCCTTTGTTGTGAAGATGTGAAAGTTAATAAGGCTGATGATAATTGGCATTTCCGAGAAAAATGTTTTACAAGGATCATAATAAAACCCATATTGAGTGAAATTTCGCTTTCATAGTCTGTTGAAAGCGATGCATCGGCACAAAAAAATCGGGTGATGTATTGTCAATAAAGATTTTATTTAACATTCTGTATTTCTGTTTATGGATCTGTATGCTCACTTGTTTTTTGATCATAATGTATGGGAACTCTTCAATGACTCATGTGATATGTTGTGCATCAAATTATGCGCAGATGTTAGAATAATCGAAATAAGTGTCTTTGTTACTCGGACTCGTTGTAGGTTTTCCCGACCTGCATGACCTGCATCATGTGCTTTCTGACAGTCTTTTACTACTACTTTATTCAACAAAAATATTTTGGGGATGCCTTAAAAAAGTTAGGTTTCACAATCAACATTAGGTATCTTTTTTTCACGACAGCAGATATTATGATTTCTCTTAGCAAATACAGTTCAAATATTGTTTAGTTAAAGACTTTATAAAACAATATGTCCCCTGAAATTCTTTATGACGAACTTGAGATCAAATTTCGATATCAGAAGGATTGGTGGAATTTCTGATATCTCATAAAAAATTTTCCAGAAAAATGATCACGTGGCAGAGTTTCTTTCGGAATAAAAACTAGAAAAATGATCATTTGTTTGAGTTTTATCCAGAATTTTTTTTTTATAAAGATAATGACGTCCCTTAATGGAAACACCTGTGAAATGTTCACCTTACGAACAATTTTGGAGAAACACAACTCGTTGCCGAGATACTCACCCGTCGTGATGAAAATATACGTAATTAGGGATCACATTATATTTCAAGATATGTTTCGTTGTGATCTCTGCATGCAGTACATTGGGTCTTAAAACAGTCAATCGTAATTGTAAGATGGACAGGTTAAACATTCCAGCAGAAAGCTTGTCTAAATAGTAAAGTCGGAGGGAGACACGACAGCTGGAAAGATTAATCAAAATTCGGTACATCTTACAACAAATGAAAATCAAAAGTCAAAACTAATAATATTAATTTGGCTGGGCTCAGGAACACTGTATAGCATAGTTTACTTCAGTGCGATTTATTTTTGATAAAAAATTTTTTCATTGGGTTAAAATTAAGAATTTTCAATTGTGTATTATTTCGTTAATTTATCTTTCGACAAATGAAACTCGAATATTATATTAACTAATATATACCTAAGAATTATCGGAGGTGATTTTATGCGAGAAAGGTTAATTTTGTTATTTATTACTCAACAATGTACTGTAGACAAATTTACGTTTTCTTTTTTAGAAAGTATGTTGATGAGGTCCGGTATTAATATATTTAATGGACAAAATGAAATTGTAATTTACTTTCTAGATGAAACAATTAAACTCTTCGCCAAAACTTTATGTGAAGTCACTATTTCATGTATTTTGTACATATATAATTTTTTTTTTTTAAAAAAAAAGTGAAATCTATTTCAAATCTACTAGGCTAGGAAATCTATAATATATCGGGATATCTACGGAGTATTTGAGAGACCCATGCTATTCCGGATGCTAATTTCGGTTCAATAGTGTCATTCTTCTATAAAGACATTATCTGCCAGTATAACTGTCCAAAGAATTAAAGATGGACCCTAATTTCTAAAAAAAAAAAGTGACGGTAACTCATATTCTAACCAGCAGTAGTTTCGGCTAGATACTGTACATGTTTTTCACATGAAGTTTTGTTGCAAATTCCAAAATTTTTAGAATGTTTACAATAGATAAGTGATTTTCAACAATTTTTAATATAAAATGATAATCTTTAAAGTCTTTGTTCCAATAATTGATTATCAATTGCGCCAAATTTCTTATAATAAATATCATTTACCCGTAACACAGAATCTCGTCACACTAATAAATGAACAGACAAAAAACGAGCTTTTTGAAAATTATAATTCTTAATAGATTAAGTTGCGCAAAATCTATAAATGGAAAAGAAATTTAAAACGTATAAATGAAAGGTATTCGCAATGATTTCGCAGGGTTTATTATTGTCAATGTAAATGTATTAATTTATCCGGGTATCCAAAAATCAATTGGTCCGGCGATCATTTCATTTATAATGAATGGTTGTCAAAAATTTTAAGAATGTTTATTCTCAATGAGCGCAAATTCACATGACATCATGTCACACGATAAACTACTCCAAAAATAGAGTGATAAAAAAAAGTACAAACCCCTTTGTTTACATTCAAATTTGTTTATCTAATAATGAAATCCGATCACTTGATATACTTTAAAAAGAAATATAAAAAAACGAGACAAATCCTAGGATAAAATTTCAAAGTTGAAGTTTTTTTTTTTTTTGAAAATAAAAAATAAACAAAAATGACTCATCTTACCGCTGATTGCCTTAACGAGATCTTTAGATATTTTGAGGAAGATAAGGCCGTTTTACATTCATGCCTACTGGTTAATCGTTTCTGGTGTGAAGTTTCTGTTAGAATTTTATGGGAAACCCCCAATGTATCAGTAGAAGTTCTTAATACTCTAATTACTTGCTTACCTGATGAATCTAAAGAATTTTTATATAAAGTTGGAACTATTTTAAAACCAACAATTCCTTGCGAGAAAGAAGTTATGTCGGCTTCAACTTCAAAACATCCACTATTCAATTATGTATCATATTGTAAAGTTCTTTCAATTTCTAATATCTATTCTATTGTTAAACTTTTCTTTAACAACAAACAGTCAGTTAATACAAAAGAAAATATTAATTTACTAACACAAGAAATATTCAAAATGTTTATGGGTGTTTCTTCGATAAAAAAATTATCATATACTAATGATGATGTAAAAATTCCAAACAATATAAATTTTGTTAATTTCCCTGGAACGAAATATTGTTTAAGAAATCTTTCAGAATTTACCTGTACTTCAAACGTTAATTCTGAAGTTTTTAATCAGTTGTCGAAAATATGTCATAATATTCAATCATTAAATATTAAGTTTAACAAATATTCTGATAAAGTTTCAGATGGGTTAAAAAATTTAATTTCTTCACAAAATAATTTAAAATCCTTATCATTGACTTATTATGAATCAAATCATTGGTCAGATATCATAGATTCGTTGTCAAAACATTCTAATACTTTAATCAAGTTAATCATCAAAGGAAAAGACAATCATTGGCCATTATCCTTTATAAAAGATTTCAAAAATTTACAAGAACTTGAAATATCGTTAAGTTATGTTAGTAAAGAAGACGATGGGTATTCAGATTTCGAACATTTTGAGGATTTACAATATTTTACTTTTCCACACTTAAAAAAATTAAATATTAATCTTCCAAAAAAAGTGGAGCCGATAGTAGTAAAATTTTTGGAGAACAATGGAATGAATTTAGTGGAATTTCAAAGTAAATGTAAATCAATAAATCGTGCTGTTAACGATCATTGTCCGAAATTGAAATCATTACATACTACATTTGGTGAAAAATTTTCAGGATTATTATTAAGAAATATTCTTAAGAAATGCAAAAAATTAGAAAGTATTGAACCATTTCGTCGTGGTTCAAATTTAAGCGGAAAAGAACTTTTGAAAATTGTAGATGAAAATTCACCGAAGAATTTTCATGAATTAAATCTACATAATTATTATGAGGAATTAGACGCTGAAGATTTGAAATCATTTTGTATTAGTTTGGAAAAGCGTAACCCACTAAAATTACTTACTTTAATTATTAAAAATGGTAGTTCTAGAAAAAATGATGAAAAGGAGGCAATTATTAATGAATATGAAAGGAAGGGTGTAATTAAAATTTTAAAGATGTAAATTTACGCATGTTTTTAAGTTGTATATATATTATTATTATGTTGAAATATCAAATATGCTTTTTAAGTGATTGTGTGTATAAATAAAATTAAATAAATTAAGTATCATACAAAAATCTCGTTTTCTTTATTTGTGGCGTGAGAATTTCTAATTTTAGTAACACAACAAAGATATCTGTACTTTGTAATACGACTTAATAAAGTAATAAATATGGTTATAAATGACTTTACGATTTTAGCTTTAGAAAAACTGAAATTTCACGCAAAATATATATATATATTTTTTTTTTTTTAAAAAAAAAATAGAAATAAAAAATGTCTCAACTTGATGCTGATTGTCTTAACGAGATCTTTGGATGCTTAGAAAAAGATAAGGCCACTTTATATTCATGCCTACTAGTTAATCGCTTTTGGTGTCAAGTTTCTGTTAGAATTTTATGGAAGGAGCCCAATGCATCGACAAAAGTTCTTAATACTTTAATTATTTGTTTACCTGATGAATCTAAAAATTTCTTATATAACAATGGAATTATTTTAGCACCAAATTTGAAATCTTTATATGCTCCTGACGACTATTTGTGTAAGAAGGAAATTATCTCGGCTCCAACTTGGAAACCTCCATTATTCAACTACGTATCATATTGCAAAGTTTTATCAATTTATAAAATTCATTCTATTGTTAAGCTTTTTCTTACTAACAATCAACAGTCAATTAATACAAAAAAATATATTAATTTATTAACACAAGAAATATTAAAAATGTTTATGAGCGTTTCTTTGTTGAACAAATTATCATATACTTGTGATGTAGATTATAGTTCAAAAATAAAAGATTTGAAAATATCAGATAGAATAACTTTCGTTCATTCTTCTGGAGCGAGATATTGTTTAACAAATCTTTCAGAATTTACTTGTACTTCAAACATTAATTCTGAAGTTTTTAATCAGCTATCAAAAATATGTCATAATATTCAATCATTAAATATTAGGTTTAACAAATATGCTGATACAGTTTCAAATGGGTTAAAAGATTTAATTTCTTCACAAAATAATTTAAAATCCTTATCAATTTATTATGAATCATATCATTGGGCAGATATCATACCTTCGTTGATGAAACATTCTGATACTTTAATCAAGTTAAGCATCAAAGGGGAAGAAAATCATTGGCCATTATCTTTTATAAAAGTTTTCAATAATTTACAAGAACTTAATATATCGTTAAGTTTCATTAATGAAGACGAAGATTTCGAATATTTTAAAGATTTACAACATTTTACTTTTCCACATTTAAGAAAATTAAATGTTAATCTTCCAACAAAATTTGAACCGATAGTAGTAAAATTCTTAGAGAATAATGGAGAGAATTTAGAAGAATTTCAAAGTAGATGTAAATGTAAAAATTCATCAATAAATCGTGCTGTTAACGATCATTGTCCGAAATTGAAATCATTACATACTATATTTGGTGAAAATTTATCAGGATTATTATTAAGAAATATTTTTAAGAAATGCAAAAAATTAGAAAGTATTGAAATATTTCGTCGTGGTTCAAATTTAAGCGGAAAAGAACTTTTGAAAATTGTAGCTGAAAATTCACCGAAGAATTTTCATGAATTAAAATTTCATAATTATTATGCGGAATTAGACGTTTGAAGATTTGAAATCCTTTTTTATTAGTTGGAAAAAGCGTAACCCACAAAAATCACTTACTTTAAATTTTAAAAATGTTGGTTCTAAAAAAAATAATGAAATGAAGGAAATTATTAATGAATATGAAAAGATTGGCGTAATTAAAATTTTAAAGGTGTAAATTTATGTATTTTTTTAAGTTGTATATATTATTATGTTAAATATCAAACTTTATTTGTAAGAAATTGTATATAAATAAAATTAAATAAATTAATGGATTACATTTTATAATACATAAGATTCGTGGAAAATTTAAAATGCCCAGAAAATGTATTGAAATGTGAACATTGTACAGGCATTACCTGGACAGTCTATAAAAAAAAATTCTGGAAAAAACTCCGATAAATGATCATTCTTCTAGTTTTTATTCCGAAGAAACTCAGACACGTGATCATTTTTTTTTGAAAAATTTTTTATAGGGTAGTTAGAGACACATATGAAGAAATAATATTTAAAATTTTTAATTTTAAGTACAAGACTCGGAATGTATAAGTTCGGAATATTTAATACAGTCTAGCGTTACATAAATTATCCCTTTGCTATGTTACTGATGTACATAGTATCATTAACTACCGTACGATATTATCCAATTTTTAAACCAGATAAGTTATATGCAGACTAGACGGTTCAATTATATATGTCTACTGCTTTGCAATATGACTCATTTAAAGTACTTTAAAAGGAATAACGAATACAACGAGAAAAAATTTCAGTAGAAATTCTTTAAAATTTATTAAATAAATAACAAAATCCCTATAAAAAATTTTTATCCGAATATTTCCATTATTTCTCCGTGTCTTCCGTAAAAATTCCGTGAAAATGATACATTCACGGATATCCGTGTTAGCGAGATGAAAATTTCCATGATTTAAGGCTATAAATTCCATTAAAATGATACATTCACGGAAAAAAATGGAAAGATAAAACACGGATCAGATTTTTTACAGGGAATGCCTCAATTTTCATAACGAGATATATGAGTATTTAGAGCACTTTATTCACACCTCGAAATCTCTGTTAGAATTTTACCCAATATATCGATAAAAGTTCTTAATATTTTGATTATTTGTCTACTTGATGAATTCGAAAACCTTTTACATAATAATGTTATCATCCCGACGAATTAATGACCACTTTGTGTAGGAAAAGAGTCATTCCAAATCTCCTAAATTCATTCTGATTAACTTTATAAATAATCGATTGTTATTTTTTTTTTTTTTATTTACTCTCATTAGGGATTGATATTTAATTATGGTAATAAGTTTACGTAATCATAAACATTAACCACTAAAATACCCCCACTCGACCAGCAAATGTTCCCGATGAGCTATAAACTATATACAATACGATCATAAAATAAAATCTATAAAATTAGATAATTTAAAATGAAATAATAAAATAATAAAAATTAAAACTACCAAAAATCCTAACTATAAAATAAATAATCATATAAACACTATATTTAAATTAATTAATCACCCAAATCAAATTCCTATATCAAAATAATAATGTGATGATAAAAGTTTATAAACCTGAGGCAATAAAAGGTACTTTTTGAAGCTGAGAGTGCATCAGGCCTAAAGAGTCTTGAAAACTTTGTCGAGGAGAATTATAAACCGGAGCGTATATCGGCTGTGTAGTGGGATCAGGGCCATCTAAGACAATAATTTCATCCTCTGTAATTACAGGTCTGTCGGCACGTCTGGTCCTAGAGCTACGATTATGAATAGAAATACGTTTGTCCTGAACGGTAATGTTATTGTTCCCATTTGATGACGCGTTCACATCTGTCTTTCCATAGGTGGTTTTTGAAAAGAATAATAATTTGCATTAGAATTTTGGATCCCAATCGTACACTATCAGCTCGTGAGAGTTTAAGATTTTTCTTCAGCTGTTGTACTAATCTTTGCCTGCATGGCGTCAGAGGGTAGACTTGTATATTTAAATGAGTCCGGCAAAGTGCCAAGGAGTGAGTATATGGTGCATGATCTAATGTGAGGAGGTAGTTTTTGAAATTCATCAGTGTTATTAAGGAAATGAATGAGTTCGGATCTAAAATGAGTTCTGATCCGTCGTTTGTGTGCAAGTTGATAAATGATTTGTTTCTTCATGCTTATGACAAAATTGATATTTGAGGTCGCTATACAGAGCGGGTTTTTGTTGCTTCAAACGCGTGGCTATAGGTAGTTCCTTATGAAGGGCTTTGATAATAAACGACCAAAGGCTGTTGCGTTTGGTGGAAGCACATTTAAAAAACTTGATTTGTTTGATGGTAGTCCAAGTTGTGTGCCAATCGTAATCGAATCGTTTATCAACAAAACTCGAGACCAAGCACCATAGTTCCTAAAATGTAATGCTTTATGAATGAATTTCCGAATATTCTGTTCAATAGAAGTGCGATTATATTGTGGCATAAACCTAAATTCATTACTGCCATGGGTAAACCTATTATCATAAGAACTATCTAAATCTAAACTAAGTTTACGAAATCATCTGCTTTATCGTTCCCAACGTCACCACTATGTCCCTTGACCTTATGCATGAAATAGTGTAATTTCTTCTCCGTCAGCCATCTATACCGCCTAGCATTCTTATGTTGTAGAACATTGTTGATAGAGTGAATTGCTGATTGACTGTCTGTATAAATATGGATAATGCTATTAGGAGGACTAACTAGCAATGCTAAAAATATGCCCATCAATTCCGCACGGGTAGAAGGCCAATCTTGTATGCAAGCTCCAATCTGTGTATTACTATGTGTTTCTATAAAAGCAGCCCCCCCATTGAAACGTCCACAACGTTTCCATCCAGTACTTGACCAGGGTGCGAGGGTAAAATCAGCTACCATCTGTATAAAATTGTAACGTATGACGGTGCGCTAAATTTGATGAGGCAGAGGGTAGTTGATCTTTCAGGATCGAGTCCGGGATCCAACGATCGATCCATAAGTCATGAGGTTGGGTTATATTAATTATCGGTGTGGGGGTAAATTCGGCTGAAGTGTGGTTGTTGGTTCGTCTGAAAACCATACAATCGGGGATAGCAATCCGTGTATTCCTTGCGAGTCTTGAACACTTCTACAATTGACAGTTGAGAACATTGTACCAATCTGGTGGTATTGCCATCCATGATAATACCGGGAAGTCCATTTTGTGTTGAATAGATGTATGGCTGCACTTAGTAAACACTAATTAAAAATTATGTGAGATAATATTGTTAATATAATTTAATTGTCATTTTCAATTTTTCATAGAGCGAGATACTGTTTCAGAATTAACCTATAGTTCAGGATACTGTCACCGATACGGTTCAAAGATGAAACAAATTATTAAGCGAAAATCATAATTTTACGTTCGGGCACCTTAATCAAATGAAGAAATCATCGGTCCTCAGGCCGGTGGTAGGTGAAATGGAAATAGGATTCCACAAACTAAAAAGTGATTTCAGTTGAGGCAAGTACTAGGCATAGTGTATCATTTTATGAGAAAATCAATTTTTTGAAGGAAACGATTTTAAAAAAATGAGCGTTGGTTGTAGCGCAGTTTAGTTCCTGAAGTTCTTCTGTATACAATTCATTTAGAGTGAGCAAACTACGGACAAAGGCATTTAAAATTGACATATTAATTAACAATTTTCGTGTTCCATTTGCAAGAAAATGGTTAAAACAACATCTACTAGTCAGGAAGTTGTGTTTATCCCAAAATATGTAAATTATCAAAACATAAAACGTTTCAGTAGTAATTGTACTAGAAATAGGAGATAATATTTTAATTGCAGGAAATAGTTTTCTTTATTCAACTAATATATTTTGAATTACATTTTGAAATAGCTTTTTTTAGATCAATATTTCAATATACTATATAATATGTATGTTCCGCACAAATGTTAATATAAACGTAAACCTGTTATTAATTATCCTAGTAAAAATTATACATATTTAGAAAAAATTGGTCATCAGTTTCAAATTTTTTTATAATACCCAACTTTTTGTATCTTGCTATCATTTCACCAGTTTTGATATCTAACTTAAAACTCTCTTCACTAATTATTAATGAAATTGGATTTTGTGGTTTACGAGCTTTCCAACCAATAAAAAATGATCGCAAGTCATTTGAACCTAAAGTCACATGACTATGAAATTTTAATTCACGAAAACTTTCGGGTGAATATTTAGCAACAGCTTCTAACAGTTTTTTTCCTCCCAGAAAACAATGACCACATATACCTAGAAAACTTTCTAATTGTTGGCAACTCTCAAAAATTAATTTTAACATTTCTATTTCATTTCTTGGAAATATAGTATGTAATGATTTTAAGTTTGGACAGAATTCAGTTATGGCTAGATGTAATGAATTATCATTCCTATTCACATATAATTCTTCCAAATTCCTTCCATTATTTTCTAAAAATTTAATCAACATATTAACTTCTGGACAAATAACTAATTTTAAAATTCGTAAGTGTGGAAAAGTGATATATTGTATTTCCTTAAAGTCAGCATGTCTATATTCAAGTAATAAATTTTTTATTGTGTTTGAATGTTTTGCTAATAAAGATGCAATCTTTGGCCAATCTTGATCATTATGATGAATTTTATGATCTTCATCATCGTCGTCGTCGTCGTCGTAGTCATCATCATCATCATCATTGTTATTAAGTCTAATACTATACGAATACACATAAACTTCATCATCGTCGTTGTCGTCGTCGTCGTCGTTGTAGTCATCATCATCATCATCGTCGTCGTCACCATCATCAACATCTTTATCATCACCAATATTATGAAAATAATCACCATAATAATAATCACCATATTTTATAAATGATACGGATATCAAATTTTTTTGTGATAAAAACAATTCATTTAACTCCTTTGAAATACAACAAAAATGTACTCTAAGTGATTGTATGTTGTGACATATTTGAGACAGTTGTTGAAAAAATTCAGAACTAATGTCTGAGCCGCATCTCAAATCTGAAAGATTATTTAAACAATCTTTTGCTCCAGGAAAACTAATAAAATTTGAAATAAGCTTAAAATAATCAGAAACATTGTTATCACGACTATCTTCTATTAAACAATAGGCCAATTTTTTTAAAGAAGCATGATTCATAAACATTCTTAAAATTTCATGTGATATCAAGTAGTTTGTTTTTGAATTTCCAGTAAGAATCTTGTTATATGAGACATTACCGATTATGAGGTGTGGAATTGAAAGAACTTTGATAAATGATACATAATTAAATAATGGAGATCTTTGATTTGTAGTTGGGATAGAAATTCCATTTTCGAATAAAAAATCTATTGACTCGTTAGGAAGAAAAGCGACCAGAGTCTCAAATACTTTTAATGATACATCCAAATCGTGTGGTGAGGAGTCAACAAATTTAAAAATCCAAATGTTCTTCCATAAAATTTCAACTGAAGCTCTGCACCAAAAACGATTTACTAGTAAACAAGAATGTAAATTAACTTTATCTTCTTCTAAACACTTAAAAATTCTGTTAAGACAATCAACAGTAAGTTGAGAAGACATTGTGTTTTGAGAAACTTGAGAAATTTGAGAAACTTGAGAAGTTTGAGAAGCTTGAGAAATTTGAGAAGTTTGAGAAATATTTTTTTTTTACAATATTATAAAAAGGAGAGAGAAAAAAAAAGGTTTAAAATGATGAAAATGATGCGAATAGTTAATTTAATTAACTTTAATTGGTCACATGTTGATTTTAGCTATATTTGTAGAACAAAATGATAATGATGAGTAATGGCACAGCTATATACTAACACGTGAAAATAAGTGATGCGACGCGATGACTCACCAAATATATTAATTCATTGCTTCTTAAGGACAGGGAAACATGTCTGATTCTTTAAAAAGTACTATTTGTTTCGTTACTTATTTTTGTAGAATGGGATTTAATATTTCTTTTTCTTTTTTTTTATAGGTATGATGCTAATAATGTGATTAATATAAATAAGGTCACGGTTCCTAATAATTCATGATGATTTTTATTTGGTAATCTCACGGATGATTATTTAAAAAGATGGATAAATTAATATTAGAATAGAATAAAAAGTCCATCATTATATCATTATTAATTGCTATTGATCCGCCATGATCCGTGAAATAACTGGTTTATACCACACAATGATTTTCACGACGCAGCCGCGCAAATCAATGATTCCATAGTTCCCCGTGAAATACTATTATATAATACTCCAAATGTAGGTAGTTGTGAACGTGCTATTCATCGAATTTATATATTGACACCTTTCTCACGACTAACCTGTTATTCCATTTCGGCTTAATCCCAACACTAAAGAGTCTTTTTACATAAATAGTATGATGTTGCTGTCAAACCAATACTGTAAAGACGTTAACTTATGATAAACATCTTGAGCGAAAGAAATAAAATAAATTTTACTATTGGTCCCGTGAAACGATGTGTTAGCAGTTAATTTAGGCCGGAATGAAATTTAAACTTTTACAAAGACTAAAGTCGAATTTTTCTTAGCTGAAATTAAGTAATTGACACTTCGATTATATGGGTAAATTTAAATTTTAACTATTTTAATTATTTTATGATCAACAAAATTTAATATATCAGACAAATACTGTAGCCTTACGCCCGATCAAATAGGAGTAGCTCCGTAATAAAAATCATTAAAAATTCCTACTATTTAAAATCGCCATCGCGAAAAGCCGTTTTTAACAATTGGAAAACAATAATTACTAAGAATTTGATTACAATTATAGCGTAAAATTTATTTGGAGAATTTATTAACATTTTTTTATATCATTTATTTTGTACACAAAAAATTTCCACTAATGATTTTTACCATGCGGTTAATACTATGTCCTGATTGTAATAGGGTTCTACCTTTATTTTTCAATATCAAAAATAGTTTCAAGGATTCTGCTTTAATATTGTTATGATAATGTCCAATCTAAACTCGAAGTTAATATTTCAAAACAACTATCTAAATAGAACTCAACTCAACCCACAAGACAAAACCAGACATACATTTTATAATTATTTGTGCGTCCCCAGCAATTTACTGTTTCTTATTTTCAGCGTTTACTTCTCTGAGCACGTCTCTAATTTCACTTTTGAATCTTTCAGGTACTGTATCTTCAATCCTGCCTCTGACATACGACAATTTGGTCATTCTTTTCTAATCAAAGAGTAGCTTGGTCCTCTTTAACTTTACATTTAGGATAGCCCGGGCTTCAGTACGCGTTGTAACACCGGCTTCACAAGATGAACCACCACATTTAACAACAGTAGATTGCACTCCTATAATTGTAAGAGAATGAAACTATAAAATTTTCCTTTTTATTTAATATGAAGAACGTAATAAAATGATATTCTTATTTTTTTATATTTTATCCGATACACATTTATAAATGGGCAAAATAGATAAGGCAGATATATAATTTGAATGAAACAAAATTAGCCGGGTTAGTAATGAATATATGATCGTAAATGGAATACTATTGGTAGCGAAATATGGTTTACATTCTTCGGGATCTAGGGTTAGCCAACTTTAAAAGAGATTTTTTATTTTTATTTTTATTACACAACGTGAACAAAGTAGCACTACAAAATACAAAGATTTTAACACTAAACCGAAAGTAATTCGAAAATTGAATACCAAGTCGCTACGAGGGCGATGTCACTTTGGTGGAAAATCGAAACAAAGAAACGAGAATGTTCTAAGAACACCGCCGGAATCCAAGGTGAGAAGGAAGAATAAGATGTAATAAAAATTATATTTCAATAAAAGAATGTAAAAATTATAAATCATAAAAAAAAGAAAATAAATCTATATTATCGAAAAGTAAATCGTCTCTATGTGATTCCCAAGAACTCGAGTGTAAAAAATTACTAGATGTCCACCGTATATGAGCGGTATCGTCAAAAGGTTCCTTACGGTGGTTGTAAGGGAACCAGAGAATCATACCAAAAAATGATAAGTCGTGTTCGTTCACGTGATTTTTATATTAACTTTGTGACAAATAAATTTTCATTCCAAAATCCAAACTAACAGGGGCGACAAATATTTTAATGTCATCCGATTTTCACTACAGTAAAACCAAACAAAAAAAATTTAGAATGATACTCCAGAAAATATATCACACAATATAAATCATTTGTTCAGGTTTTCTTAACTCCTGTTGTCGACTTTCGACAATAACTGAGAAAGTTAGGGCTAAAGCAGGCTCTAGCTAGGGACCGGTATTGGAAGCTATTATTAATTCTCACCAAGGAATTTCCGTAGATTAAAATTAAAATTATGTAAAATTAAGCTCAAAAGATTTGGAATCATTTTTATTGATTGAACTTGCATGTACTGTACTAATATTTAAGACATTTAATTTTCTAGTGAAAGATAATAATAATCATTGGAAGTTGATACTATTAAAAAGTTGAATATTATTAATAGGTATGTACTCTAGGGGGTTTTTATTGATATTCAATTATTTAAATAATTGTGCTATAGCTTGAAATAATTATCTTTAACTCGAAGATCATTTTTATAACAAACAATACCTTTCCTGGATCAATGAGATTGATTAAAGAATTAACCTGCAGTCACAAAATTAAATGTATAAATTATCTATTTAAATTATTGGCGTAATTTTTCACATTACACAATCTACTTTATCTGTTATACAACAGGTGTATGTAACACGATTAAATTCAACTTACTATAAGAAGATAACAACGATTTTATTTTTTGACAATACGTTGAACCTCATTATTTTTTGTTATAAAAATAATATGGACATAAAGCTGCATTATATTCATGCTTACTAGTTAATCGTCTTTAGTGTGAAATTTCTGTTAGAGTTTTGTGGAGAAACATTTGGGATTTAAAACGTAACATATCTCCATCATATAGGTTTGGAATATCATCATAAATTCTTAATACTTTAATTAATTGTCTTCCTAATGAATCAAAAGATCTCTTATATAAGAATGGAGCTATTCCAATTCCAACTTCGAAATCTCCATTGTTTAATTATGTATCATTTTGTAAAGTTCTTTCAATTCTTGATATTAATCTAATACTTGATGATGTCTTTATAGCAAAAAGTGTTTTAAGAATCAAAATTCTATTACATATACATTATTAAATAATAACAATATGATTGCACAAAAAAATATAACTATTTTGAAAAAATTGACCTATTATTCTGATTTTTATGATAGAAATATTCCAGCTTTCATAAATTTTCCTGGAGCAAAAAATCTTTCAGAATTAGAATGTGATTCAAATTATTTGATTATAGAGATGGTTTTGAAGAAATACAAAATATTAATTTTACAAAATTACAAATTTTAAAATTTGTTAATGGATTTCCAAAAGTTGAAACTTTAATTAAATTTTTTAGAACACAATGGAAAAAATTCAAAAGAATTATATAGATAAACATAATAATTTTTAAAATTTAACTATATCTAAATTTTGTCAAAATTTGAAATCTCTTTATACTCGATTTATAAAAAATGAAATAAGAACATTAAAAATAATTTTTATTAGTTGTTAACAATTAGAAAGTATTAAAATTAGGAGACGTAATTATGTAAAATTAGAATCAAAAGATTTAGAATCCTTTTTTATTAGTTGGAAAAACCGTAAGTCACAAAAATCACTTTCCTTTATCATAATAGTAAGAATGAGGAAAATAATGAAAATATGAAAATAATTGAAAATATAATAAGTTGGGTATTGTTAAAAAATTTGAATTTGAATAAATTTAATATTTATTGTCATTTATATTAATAAATTTAAACTATTGTTAAAAATTTAATACTAAATTCTAGTTTATATAGTATTTACAGTGCTTAAATATTAATAATTACCTAGTATTATAATACTTTAGGTAATTTGTAATAAAAAAGAAAACACAGCTAAAAAGTAAGTTAATTATAATGCTATTACCTATTATTTAATTTTAGAATAGTATTACAGTAATTCGAATTAAATTTAAATGCAGCTATTAAAATAATTTGTGCATAACTTGTAGCACTATTTATAATATTTAACTTATCATTTTATTTACAGAAAGTAGCTTATAATAACAAGTAATTTACATACATTAGATTTGAATTAAAATTCAGTTGTAAATATTAAAGTAACTTTGTTGCATAATTTGAAGTTAATTATAATATTTTAACTTATTATTTTATTCGTAGAAAAGTGACTCATAATTATCAGTACTTGCTATCAAAGTCATGGGCTTGTGATTAGTAATTATATTAAATGATATTATGAATTTAAGTTAATTATAATATTATAATTACCTATTATTTATAACTTATACAGCAATAATCAGTATTTATAACATACTATTTTATTTACAGAAAAGTAATTTATAATAATCAATAATTTAAATACTTTACAGAAACTGCAAGATCGTAGCGATGGCTTAATGCGCAGTAACTGCATATATGTAATTTCTTTACGATTACATAATGTGGTCACTATGTATTTATAACGCAGTTACTGCGCATTAAGCCATCGCTACGATCTTTAAGTTTCTGTAAAGTAAAATAGATGTGAGTTAAATTTAAATACAGCAAACAAAGTTATGGCTTTGTGATTAGTAATCGTATTTAAAGTTAGCTATAATATTTTAACTTATTATTTAATTCACAGAAAAGTAACTTATAATTATTAGTTACTTACTAAGTAATTATATTAATATAAAATTATGATATTCAGTTATATAGTAATCTTCTAATTTAGTTATAATATTATTAATTGCCATGTAAAATTTAAAGAATTATAGTATACTATTTTATTTACAATAAAGTAATTCATAATAAACAATACTTTGAATATAATAGATCTGAGTTAATTTTAAATGCAGCAAACGAATTATATTTGGAGTCAGATATAATATTAAAACCTATTATTTTATTTACAGAAAAGTATTTTATAATAATCAGTACTTTGTATATGTTGTGCGTCAAGTGTCGATTTGCGTCAGATGCAGCTGACGTGCGTCAGATGTAAATTGATACTTGACGCGTCACTTGAATCACACAATAAAGTTCTCCTATAGTAAAAAAATTTTTTTTACTAATAAAATTATTTTTTATTACGTAAGTAAATTTGTTTGTTACAATAAATTACACATATTGTGAAAATTTTATGGCTATTTAATCTATGTTTAATTAAATATTGTTTACTTGAAAAAACTTGTAATTTATTAATATTTTGAATGAAGTGTTTTCCATGAAACTGAGTCTAATCAATTTAATATTACAGGGTTACATATTTTTTAACAAGATTAATAAACTTATTTAATAAAGAAATTTAGTTTAAGTTTGAAAATTTTAATTTAATTATAACTTAATTTTGCATATTTTATATCACAAGTGACGTGCGTCAGGTATCAATCTACGTCTGACGCACGTCGGCTGCATCTGACGCAAATCGACACTTGACGCACAACATATATATTATTAGATCAGGTAATCAAAATTATGACATCATATATCTTTTAATTTGAAGTTAACTATAATATTATTTATTACCTATTATTTTAATTATAGATAACAATCAAGTACTTTGAATTTACATTATGATATTATAATCTTATTAGAGAATAGTAATTTATAATAATCAGTATTTGTATAATATTACAGAAAAGTGACTTATAGTAATTAGTACTTTACATATATTAGATTTAAATTAAATTCAAATGCAACTATTAAAGTAACTTTGTGCATAATTAGAAGTTAATTATAATATTTTAACTTATTATTTTATTTACAGAAAAGTAATTTATAATTATCAGCACCTGTTATAAACTTGTACTTTAAGGTTATTATAGTTACTTGTTATTTTACTGATAATCAGTATTTTTATTTGAGCCAAATTAAATTTAAATACAGCTATTAAAGTAACAAAGTAACTTTATGTATAATTTTAAAGAATTATAATATATTATTTTATTTCAGAAGAAATATCGGTATTTTTATTATATCTGAATACAACTATCAAAGTAACTTTATGTATAATTTTAAAGAATTATAATATAATATTTATTTACAAAAAAAAGTGATTATAATAATCAATACTTCGAATATGAGTTAAATTCAAATTCAGCAAACAAAGTTGTGGCTTTGTGATTAGTAATTATATTTGAAGTTAGATATAATATTACTAACTATTATTTTATTGACAGAAAAAGTAACCTATAATTGTCAATACTTGTCATCAAAATCATGAGCTTGTGATTAGTAATACTTAATTATAATATTATTAGTTATCTGTTATTTTATTTCAGAAGAATAACTTATATAGTAATAATCAGTATTTTTAAATCTGAATTAAATTTAAAATACAGCTATCAGAGTAACTTTATATATAATTTTAAAGAATTATAATATACTATTTTATTGACAGAAAAGTAATTTATAATAATCAATACTTTAAATAAAATAGATGTGAGTTAAATTTAAATACAGCAAACAAAGTTGTGGCTTTGTGATTAGTAATTGTATTTGAAGTTAGATAATATCAAAACCTATTAGTTTATTTACAGAAAAGTAGCTTATAATAATCAGTACTTCATATACATTAGGTTTGAATTAGATTCAAATGCAATAATTAAAGTAACTTTGTGCACAATTCGAAGTTAGTTATAATATTTTAACTTATTATTTTATTTACAGGAAAGTAACTTATATTAATCAGTACTTTACAGAAATTGCCGGAAAATTCAAATTTACTTTACAGCTGCTATCAAAGATCATGATCTTTGTAATGATTTAATATTTGATGACATTAATTACTATCTTCTTATCTACAGAAAAAAATCAATTAATCTAAAATTATATCAAAGTATAGATCATTCAAGATTATATGTCATATTAATATATAGATTTTAATAAATACTAAACTATAATCTGACTAATCTGTTAATTATGATTTTACATTCACATGACTTCTGTTTCAACACTGTTATAATATTATAAGTAATATAAATAATATAAAAAGGACTACTCTCTTTATGACTCATTTTTTTTAATTTTTTTTTTTAGCCCTTTTTATAAAATCTTTCAAAAATGAATAGTAAAATGCCCTCCCAACTTCCCGTACTTCCCATCGATTGTCTCAAGAAAATTTTTGAATGTTTAGATGATAATAAAGTCGCTTTACATTCATGTTTATTAGTTAGTCGTCTTTGGTGTAGAGTCTCTGTTGAAATATTATGGAGAAACATTTGGGATACTGTACTTCAATTATATCAACTGGACGCGTTATCAAAAATTTTTAATACTTTAATCGCTTGCCTTCCTAATGAATCAAAAGAACTTTTATTTAACAAAGGTGTTTTTATTCCAACTCCAACTTCGAAATTTCCATTATTTAATTATCCATCATTTTGCAAAGTTCTTTCAATTCTTGATCTAATGATAATCGATGATGAATTTAAAAAAATTACCACAAATCATGAATCTTTTATTTTACTAAGAGAAAGAAACTATTTGATAGCACAAGAAATGTTAAAAATGTTTATGAAAGAAATTCCTTCTTTAAAAAAACTGGTTTATTACTCCGATATTTATGGCAGCAAAATTCCGAATTTTATTAATTTTTCCGGTGCAAGAGATTGTTTAAAAAATCTATCAGAAATGAGATGTAGCTCGAACATCAATTCTGAATTTTTTTATCAATTATCTAAAATATGCCATAATATTCAATCATTAACTATAGAATTCAGTATTACTAATTTGGATGGATTAAATGATTTGATTTTTTCACAAAATAGTTTAAAATCTTTATCAGTTATGCGGTGTATTGATTATGATGATAAAGAGGATATAGATTGCGCAAAGATCGTACCTTCATTAACAAAACATGCAAACACACTGACAAAATTATTTTTACAAGGAATATCAAAATTATCATTTTTGCCAAAATTTACAAATTTACAAGAACTTGATTTATCATCAGGATTTGAAGATTTTAAAGAATTACAATACGTTATTTTTCCATACTTAGAAATTTTAAAATTATATTATGGATATTCGGAATTTGAAATGTTGATTAAATTTTTAGAAAATAATGGAAGGAATTTGAGGGAATTTAATGTATATGGATGTAATAGTAATAATTCGTTAAATTTAGCTATAGCAAAATTTTGTCCGAATCTGAGATCACTATATACTCAATTCAAATTTGATGAAATAGAATCATTAGCAGTTATCTTTAGTAGTTGTCAACAATTAGAAAGCTTTAAAACTTTATGTGATAAACCATATTTTGAAGGAAAGAAATTATTGGAAATAGTTGCTAAATATTCACCCAAGAATTTTCATGAATTGACATTATGTAATTATGTAAAATTAAGAAAAGATGATTTGGAATCGTTTTTTATTAATTGGAAAACCCGTATACCTCAAAAATCACTTTCTTTTATTGTTAATGATAGTAAATTTATAAAAAATAGCAAAAATAAGAAAATAATTAGAAAATATAAAAATTTGGGTATCATTAAAAAATTTGAATAAGAGTATTCAAATCCATAATATATAATTAAAAAATTTGATCATATCTAGATTACCTTATATAAATTAATAGTGAATTATTTGAATTGTGTAACAATGTAACATGTTTCTGTTAAATTTATCATTTAATTTTCTTTGTTCATTTAAATTGGAGGTAAAATTTTGTTCATCTTCGTGTTTATCGGAAATACCGATCGATAAATAATCTCCAGTGAATTCTCCAGTACATATTTATAGAATTAATTTGTACATTAATCGATTCATCCGATTATTTTATCGTTGCCAATGGGAATATCAGTTTCTCCTTTAGTGCGTTTTTTATAGCTAAAATACTTGTATAAATTAGTATGATGAACGTCGATCATCTACAGTTCAGTTTATATTATTTGTGTGCACAATTTACTATATGGTTCAAGTTCATTAATCCCGGTGCGAAGCAACGGAAAAATATATACAATATATAGTGTATCAATATATATCAGTACCCCTAAATATATATATGAATTAACGGATCAAATTTGGATGATGATAAAATCGAATCGCCGCCAATAATTGATTATTTGAATTCATTAATAAATTCTTATCACAAAATATTATATCAATATCATTAACAAACTATTTCGTTAAGAAAATTTAAATAATTGTCGCCTAACCAACATCAATTATAATAAAATTCGTAGAAATCGTTATAATAGTAGTACTTTATTGCGTTATAACAATCAATCCTTCTTTGATTATTTTTTATGAATTAAAATCAATACAATTTTTAGCAAATTATAAAAAATGTTTGGTTCTTTTAAAGCTTTCTTGTTCTTTCTAAATACGGTATATACTGTATTAGTCATATACAGTATATTACATTTTTAAAAACGAATACCATTACTTTTCACTAAAAATTTGCAATTAAAATTATCGGATAAAATCAATTAATAAATCATATTTATTAGTTTTAATAGAACAACATCCTATGTAAGTCTTTGCAAATAAGCAGTTTAATAAATTAATAAAAGTGAGTAATTACTAATTACTAATTTAACATGAGCTATACACCTTATGCTATGAACATAGTTAATATTTGAATATTTCAATAAATGTTGTTTTAAAAACTCCTGATGAGGTCAATCAGAAAGGAAGGACGAGATAAGGAAAAGTAAGAGGGAAAGTAGAAGAGGAAGACAAGAGAGGAAAAGTAAGGGTAAAGGGCGAAGTGGAAGGGAAAAGGCGAGGAAATGATGTGAGAAAAGAGTAAGAAGAAAAGGGTGAGGAGGTAAAGGGTGCGTGAAGAGAGAAAGTGAGAGAGGAAGGGAAAGGCAAAGAAAAGAGAAAATGCGAAAGAAAGAAAGGGTATACATGCGTAATTATTTCAAATAATTCGTATTGGTGAATATTTATTACACCAAATTTTGTTCAAAGATTTATTAAAATAGTATTACACCAGTATTACACCGGTGTAATGCCGAATTGGTGTAATGTGCAGTAATATTTCGCCCCCATGTACAGTCAAACCTCGATGTACCGATATTCTATATACCGATAAATGATCTATACCGATAAATTTCAATTATCCCATTTCATAATTAATAAAAAACCTTGTTGTATCGATATTATATATAGTTTCGCGATGTAACACGTAACGATACTCTTTCTTTGCCCCTTTATAGTAACGTATAAATAGTTTGAATATGAACGTTTAAAGACTCTTTTTAGGCAATCGGAAATCCATGTGACAGTAAATTTTTTCACCGTACACATGGTACTACGGCGTACAACCCAATTTATTATAAATCAATCTAATCATTCGTGGTGTTAAAAAAAAATGACGAGAGGATATTCATTAGAACAAGATTTAAGTTTGTTAATAAATAATACCAAATATAGTGATATAGAAATTTTATGTGAAGATGGAAAGAAACTATATGGTTGTAGAGCAATTTTGGCTGCAAGATCCGAATTATTTGACAGTTTACTTTACAATGGAATGAAAGAAAGTTTTGAAAATAAAATTTCTTTTCCAAAGATTAATTCCTCTGGAATGAAAATTATATTGGAATATATTTATACAGGATTAATTAAAAAAGAATCTTTAAATAAAAATAATATAATTGAAGCATTTTATGCTGCAGATTTTTTTCAATTAACTGATCTTCAAGAAAATATTGTAAGAGTTGTTAATAATACACTGGAATCAGAAAATTATTCACCGGAATTATTATCTAATATTGTAGAAATAATGCCATTTATAGAAGATAATATTCTTCAAAATTTATTGGTTGAAAAAGTAGCAACTATTCCTTTAAATACAATTGAATTTGATCGATTATCTATCGCCGGACTTCAATGTCTTTTATCATTTACATATAAAAAAGCAAAGTCCTTTGCAACTCCTGAATATGAAGTTTTTCGATATAGTGCTATTCTAGCAGCAAAACAAGTATCTAATGGTGCTTTTAAAACTCTTATGAGATGTTTGCCAACTTTGGAACAAATAAAGAATTCAATCCAAGTAGAAAATGAACCTATTACCGATCACTGTAAAGTTACTAAGGAATTAGAACCTTTAATTAATTTCATTGATTTTAATCAAATTAAAGGAAAAATTTTGACCGATATTATCGAACCATTAGGAATTATCCCAGCTAAGACAATATTAGATGTTTATCGACAAAAAGCAAGATCACTTAATACGGATTTTAATGAAATTCGAGGAACACAGTTTTGGGATGAGTTAGCATGTGGATCAAAACTTATTATTGAAGAAAATGGAAAAGTTGTAAGTGCATCAAACGATTGTCATACACATCAAGGTGTTAGAGCTAAAATTTTAATTGATAGTAAAGGTATTTTTGAATGGGATTTTATAATTGAGAAAGCTTGTAAATGGTTTTGGGTTGGAGTATGTGCACCAGGAAGTTTTAATAATGATGAACCTATTGGATGGGCATTGAGTTCTGAAGGTCGTTACTATAATTCTGGAAATTATTTAGAAGATTATTGTCCTTCATTGGGTGATGGCACGAGAATTACTGTTCATTTAGATATGAAAAAAAAAACTTGCGCTTTCACAGTCAATGGTACAAGATATCCAGAAGTATTAAATTGTAATAATAATTTACCATCAAAGTTTTATCCTGTAGCATCATTATGTTATCCTGGTCGTTTTCGAATTCAATCCCATCAAAAGTTAGATGTAATAATTTAAAAAAAAAAAAAGATTGGGTTATTTGTTGTGACTAACCACAACTATCGGTTCAGTTTAAAAATAGCTACTTGTTTTAATACCAAAAACTTTATATGACATTATATTCGTTTTATAATTAAACAATTAATTGTGAAATATCCTTTATATTATATTAAATACATAATCTTAATTTTTCGTATATAATGCGATTTTGATCATCAAGAGTAGGATTCTTATTAAATACATTCAAGCATAGATGTGATATATGTTCTAATACCAGTTATACTAATGACAGAATTGGTCTTTAAAGTGAAAAGACAAGTAATATAAAAATCTCTTACTTCTTCAGTTGTATAAAATTAGAAGAATGTAAAGGAACAAATATATTAATTGTTATGATTAATTTTAATTTGTATCTGAATAAATCTTTAAAAATTTAAATATCGTATACAATATGTTCTTTGACGCAACTTTTTTTTTATTTATCTTAGTATTTCTACAATCTTACACGTAAATGCTGAGAACGAAAGCGAAAATATTATCTACAAAAAGATTACGATTGTGGCTAATGTTAGTAATTTTTCAAAATTTATTCTTAGTCACACACTCGCATTTTTCAATAATTTTTTAAACAAAGTTTGATTACTTATGAACTGTTAGATAAAAAAGTGGCCTTCGCTCTAAAGTTATCCTACACTCCAAGCTGCTATAATAAGAATTATTTAGAAATTATGAATTGGAAAAAATCAAAGAATGAGAAACGTTGATAGAAGAACATACCGATCTCCTTTTTTTCAGATGGTCCGAAATTGAAAGTTCCACCGTCAGTAGTTCCGCTTATAATAATGTTATTCCCTCCACTCTTGAGTATCGGTTGATAAATGTCCGGTTTAAAGAAAAATTTATAAAGGTCTTGATTCCATCCCGCCAGGCAGGATCGAGACTGAACATCAGA